GAAAGAGAGAAAGAGAGAGAGAGAGCAGAGCACCGCGTGCTGTTTGACGCGCGCGTGATCCCGGATGCAAGCAGAAGAGAGACTCGGACTCGTCGAGGATGCGTTGCGTTAACCCACGCGTGACCTCTATTCCATCGACCACCCTCTAACGATACAATAACAAAGATGATTAAACGTAGATACGAATAAAAGGTTTGATCAGAAAATTCCTAAGTAAACGATTATATATATTTACATTAATATATATATATATATATATATATATATATATATATATATATACACTCAAGCAAATGATCTAAAGTAAGATAAAATACATTTATCACCCATCCTAAAAAGAATAAAATTTGAAAAACGTTAAGAGGGCTTAACCCGAACCCAAACCCATTATATTATAAACCTTTTGACATCTGACGTCATTGAATTCGAAATGTAAACCATATAGAGAAAGGTAGACCGATGTAATTCACAGGAATAAATCGATCGAGATCGTGATCGCCACTAAACGATATACGACAGTACCTTTTGGTAGCTGACGTCATTTTATCTTGATCGCATACATACATATATATATGTGCAGAGTGCTTTTGTAATAGTTCGAAAAAATTTTTATCTTAATGCTGTAAGGATCACTATCGATCACGAATGTGTGTATATTTATACATATATATATATATATATATATATATATGTGTGTGTGTGTGTGTGTGTATACATAGGTTCGCATAGAGATTGGAATGCAGACATTTTCAAACACTATATTTCTATCTTTCTCTATTCATTAAGTATTTCTTCTTATAATAATTCTCGACAGATGATTATTTTTTTTTTTCTATTTTTTTGAAAGATTTTAGAATACGGAAGTAAAAAATTCATGCATGCATAAATGAAAAATAAAACGAAGAATATAAGATTAATGAAAATTGACGTTCGATCGTGTATCGATCACAAACGATCGAAATAATCCTACTTGTTATGTTTATATTCATAAAGGTTTTGTGGTCCTCGGGAATTTGAAAGTGTAGCTAGGAACTCTTCGAAGGCCGACTTCTTTCTACCCATTGTGGAACAACCTACGCACTTCTGAACAAGTTCTCTCATTCAGTTTTACCAGTGGCAGTGACTTATTGTTATTCAAATACTACTACGATATCAGAATCGAAACGATTAAAACTCTCGCGACTGATAGATAGATGGATAGATAGATAGACGGATGGATAAATAGATAAATAGATAGATAGATAGATATATAATTACATATGTACATACACACATAGGATAACCCACAAGTCAATTGACAAAAATGCATTATTATTGTAAACAGGTTTAATTTAGAAGCATTAAGATAAACAGATAATATTTTAACATTTTTTTTTCAATAAAAGCCCTTTTTCGTTTATTTCTATATGTGAAAGTACTGTTTCTTTATAAATTAGTATGAACAATTAAGTTGGTAGATGTTCAATTTTTGGAAAAGAAAAAAAGAAAAAAAAAAAGACAAAGGAAGAAGTTTGAATCTAAATTTCTACTTGATAACCAAACAAAAAAAAAAAAAAAAAACAAGAAAGCATTAAATCAGAATAAATTTTAAAAACTTATAATATTTAATGATATATTTGGAAGATTAAGACTTTGTAAATTTTTTACTTTCAAGTGTTTTGTTATCTAAAAGTGTGAAGGAGACCAAAATATTAGGACAAGTGGAGAAGACAAATAAAAGTAAGGACAATAATATAAAGCACAATTAAATAATTAGACACAAATAAAAAAATTACAGAGATCTATGAGAATGAAAACATTAAATATTTGTATCAGAAAATGGTATTTTCATATATCCTTTTTCCTGCCAATTCTTTGTTTAATAGATCTTATTTCTGCATTAAAAACATAGGACACTTTCAGCATCTAATAAAAGTTAGTTATATATTATTGGATTCTTTTTTGTATTAAATTTTATCCGTATGGCCATAACATTTGTAAATTAAACCTGTTTATAATAAAAATGTACTTTTATCAATTGACTTATGAATCACTTTGTATATACCTATCGAATGTGTGACTCAATAAATTAAAGAAGAAAAAATCAAATCAATTCATTAACCTACAAATACATTCAGTGAAATATTCAATCTGATAAATGTAGATTTACGTAATTTTTGATTATAAAAATAAAATGGTACGGATAGAGACATAAAACTTTGAATAGATTAATGAATCCGGATGTATGTTTTTTTTTAACTTCCTATAACATAATTATTTTTGTGTCTAAATAAATTTATACATGTAGTGTGAAACTTATGGTACAGAAAAATTATAGTCATATGATACATATATATGTATATATTATACTAATATATAGCACATATACTATAATACTACAATATACTCTCTGTACTATAATACACTGATACTATACTATAATACTACTATAATACACTATATATTTTATATTAGTAAATAATATAATATAATATCATTTAATTTATATATTAGAATCATTGTACCATATTAATTATAATATGGTACAATAATTCTAATATACATATATATATATATAATATAGTTTATATTTTTAATCTTATACAGTTACATGACTGTGTATATAGTATAATATATATATAGTACAATTATTATATTATATTAAATACATTAGCATAACTATTCTATATTAAATATAGCTTATTAAATATTAATTCATAAACATTATAATTAAAACATTAATCGTTGGATATGAATTAACAATTCATTCTATTATAATTAAGAAAATGAAATCTATATATAGATTTATATATAGAAGAAATAAACAAAATCGTTCGTAACTATCGAAGTTAGTATCGTTTTAACGGAGCTCTGTATACAGTAGTGGGCGTTCATGACTCAAGAAGATCGAGATTAGTCGGAAATATTGCTGACCAACGTAATCTCGACAAATAGAGCTATCTTCGGTGTATCTCTGTTGCTCTCGGCAACGTTAGAAAAGAGAAGTTATGATCCATCGATCATAAACTTTCAAGTTAATCATCGATAATTACTATTCAATTATATATTCACACTTTTTTATTATTTCTTTTTTAAATGCTTACGTACATCCTACGTTTCGCGTTAATGCGATCCGAAGTATCCAACACCTTCTATCATAGTTTTCAAGGATCAACAGATCTAAGAAACAGAAACATTTCGCGACAGATCGCGACAAATACACATTCCCGAGCAGCTTACTGAACCATTCACTTTCCGTGAACGGTGAACGGTAAAAGAAACACACTTATATTAGCTCATCTAATATCAATAATATTAGAAAGATTAGGAAATGGAAAATTAAAAAAAAGAATATATATATATACATACATACATATATAGATATATAATACATTATAAGACAAACATTAATCGCTATAACCTATATCCAATATAACCAATATCGAAAAGATTCCTATATTTTTGTTTCATTAACAAATTAAAATATATTATTCCATAATAATATAAACATTAATTATAAAATAATCGATCATTTTCTAACTCTTTAGCTGTTTAATCTTAAAAAGGAAATATATAATTAATATAAATATTCGAATAATGTCTCACGGCTTATAGGTTAGGAGATTGGAAATATGCGCGTCATCTCTTTTTCCATTTTTTTTCTTTTATCTAACTTCCAAGCAACGCAAATGTACAGTTGTTGGGAATATAATCGTTTCTAGTTAGAACGAACATAACGGGAAATAAGAGAAAAGAAAAATCAACGAATATTTGGAAATAAATGAAAGAAAACTTACCCCTTCAAAAGAAATAAGTCTCAATATCTTTAATAACTTTTCAATTTTTTCTCTTTTATATATATATATTTTTCTTTTTTAAACACATATTTATATATACATATATATATACATGTATATATATATATATATGTATATATATATATGACAGAGTTAAACACGGAGGACAATGATCTAGAATCGATGTGACGAGACTGCCTGGCGTCGGACCTTATCCCCACCCCTTGTACCTAATTCCCGTCCTAATTGGTTGGATTTCAGAGCAGTGTAACCGGTGGCACGTGCGCGCGGCACGCGCCATTGGAATTGAGATCTATACCGATGCTTCTTCCATAGTTCTGATTTGTCGAAGGAATCGTTACTGTTTCGTGATTCGTTCAATATGCCCTTAAGAAAGATTTAGGTCGAGTATTTAAGTCGACATTGTTATTCGATAATTCTAATCGATTGACCCTATTCATCGAGAGATGATATATTTTATAAATGAGATAACGTAGATAATGTTTATTAGATTAAAAAAAAATGTCATACAAATATTTTTTATTTATTAAGTTCATTCATATATCACGTATCAATATATATACGTATGTATATATGTAAATATATTATATTATATATATATATACATATATATATATATATGTATGTATTAAAGACAAATTATAAATGATATATAAATCATCATATATAAAATACGAACAGTTAAAACGAAATGGTATACGATTAAAAACGATCGAGTGGTAGATTATGACTCTCGTGCCAGATTCAGGTTTGTGACACGGATCTCGTCTCCGTTTGGGCTTACTCATATATATGTATATATGTATATATGTATATATGCGTATGTGAGAGGGAGGGGCAGGGCAAATAGGATACATTCTTACATTTAAAGTTGCCCGCGTCCTTTCAAATCTCCTTACGTATCGTATCGTATAGTATCGTATAATATCACGACATTTGTCGCAATATATATTATTATTCTTATTTTTTGAAATTATTCAAAAAAATAAAATGAGTTTCTACGTGGTAACAAGATCTATTGTATCTACGTACATATATGCGTATATGCGTGTGTATCGAAGAGATACCAGAATGCAACAATATATATACATATACACACACATATATACATTTTGCTTGTGTTTGTGCTTGAACGTAAAAAGCATATAATGTAAAATAGAAAATAAATAAGAAACTATAATATAATAAAAGATTTTGGCTCACCTTTGGCTCGCAATTAATGTCATTGGTTATTGAAGTGAAATCTTTCCTCGCACCCGGAAGCATTTCCTCGTTTAAGTTTGAGGATGTAACGTCGTAGAATCTAGAAGAACGAGGGCTTTCTCCCTCCGCATTGAGAGAACGTATAGTCCCCGAAGAAAGGGATTCCGTTAAAGAGAACTCCAGTTGTTTGAACGACTCATTCTCGTTCGAGTCGTCGCGAAGAGAGGTGGTGGTGGTGGTGTTGGTGGTGGTGGTGGTGGTGGTGGTGGTGGTGGAGGTGATGGTGGAGGTGGTCACGATGATGGTAGTGGTGGTGATGGTGGTGGTGGTTGTTCGGTTTCCCTTCTTACCGACATCAACGGTTCTCTTACGTCCCTTCCCCATTCGTTCATCGAGTTCAGACTCTGTCGTATTCTCCCCACCTGACTCTTCCATGGTCAAAACGGAGGACCGAACGAGGCTCGCACTAAGAAACGGCCGCAAGCTCTCCTCGAGTTTCCTTCGATCGAGCCGAATACGTGAACGAGCCTCGCCCATCTCCTCCTCCTTCGATACCTCTCCGACGTCATTCGTCGCATTCGCGATCGTACCAACGGAGACAGAGAGACAGAGACGAAAAGATAGATATATATATATATAATGAGTGAGAGAGAGAGAGAGAGAGAAAGAGAATGAATGAGAGAGAGAGAGAAAGAGAGAAAAAAAAGAAAAAGGAGATGTAAGACGCGACGCGACGTGACCCGCGTGTAACACGTAGACCGTGTCTTGATTCCAACTACATGATCAATCCGAGTTCGAGACGCGATTCACTCCCGTTTACCGCGGGAACGACTGACGCCCTCCCTACTGTCCTCCTCCTATTCCTTCTCCTCCTCCTCCTCCTCCTTCTCCTCCTCCTCTTCTTCTTCCTCTTCTTCCCCTCCTTTCCTTCCAATATTCTCTAAGCACCGTCAACCCGCTGCGCATCTCCTACGCAGCACATACTTCGAGGAAGAGAGAGAGAGAGGGGGAGAATCTTTTCTTCCTTTTCTAATATAATAAATAATTTCTTAATCCAAGTGAAAGAATAACATTCGTCTTAAATCTTTAAATGGATTAATACAGAGAGATCTTATTCTTTCTTTTTTGTTTTTTTTCTTCTTAATTATTCTATTTACGTAATTAAATTTTTCTCGTTTAATCTCGTTTTCTTTATTTCTATTTTAAAGAATTTCACTGTTAATTAATATCCTTCGTTCGTTTCTTTTTATAGCGCCCGCGCTTTTCGATCTGTCGCGGTTATTTGCGCACTCTAGCGGCAAATGTTATAATTACGAACGGCCTTTAAAAATCGATCTACGTTCTCATTATATATTCGTATGTATACTTATATGGAAGTTTGTTGATACTTTTGGAAAATAATAGGTTAATGAATAAATAAAATTTTATTATATTTTTAATGTACTCATATATATGTGTGTGTGTGTGTATATTATATATTTATATATCTTCCGTTATTAATTTATAATGTTTAATAATATTTAATTTGTTGGTAATTTAAATTATATCAAATTAAAATATTAAAACATTCAATAACCTAAAATTTATTAAAAATTTAATAAGATAATTTTTAATAATAAACGTAATAAAATTTATAAATGACATAACAAAATTTATAATTTGGAAAATTAACAAATATATTAATATTAAAGAATTTCATTAAAATAATTTATACAAAACTGAATACATTTAATTTTATGACACGGACTGCAGTGAATCGATATTTTATTCAAATTCTAAACTGTGTTTAAGCAATATTAGATTTATTATTATTAATAATAATCCACGTTTTATAATAACATATTATAACATTAACACGGTACAAACAAAAAAAAGAATAAAATATTATAACAACATTATATGCATTACGATATAAAATCTAATGTAAAAATTAAAAAAAAAATGCAAATTAATAAATAATGTTTCTCCATAACCATAAAACCTGATGATTTACAAAGAAAATTCAAACAAATTTTTTTAATATCTGATGAAAACATAACCCTTGGAAGACAAATCACCTTATGTTAATTTAAAAATTAAGTATTAAATATGATTCTTTAAAAATTTTTATCATTTATGAAGGAAAATCAAACGGAGGGTGGCACCCAGCCACCAAATGCACGTTCAAGCTCTTTTGCTACAGCAATACATAGATGATCATTATATGGAGCTGCAATAACCTAAAAAAAAATATATATATATATAGCTAATTTGTTAAGTAAATTTATCTAAATTTATTACAAATGTTAACATTTCTTTTTTTCTTTTTTTAAATATAATTTTTACATACCTGTATACCTACAGGCAATCCGTCATAGTCTAATCCAAGAGGAACCTGACATACAGGAAATTTAAGCACATTGAATAGACACCAATAACCAAAATTATATGGTCTAAGAAATGAAGAGTAATGATAAACAGCAGGAGATGGAGCGGAAGGATAAAACAAGACTCCATTTTCATGTAAAATATCCTATAAACAAAAAAAAAACAGAATACATGTTACAATTATAAAAGTCGATATAATAATTCTAGATAATAGAAATGATATTACGTACCAATAAATATTTCTTCATATTAATGGTAACACTTCTAGCCCATTCAGGATCTTCTTTTGGTAACAAATCTTCGTCTATTAATTTTAATAACGCGGCAAATGTTATCTCGGACGTTCCCGAAACAAATTTCCGTATTTCAGATACTGCATTTGCACGAGACTGGAAAAAATCAATTTTATAAATTATACAATATAAAATAAGGTTGAATTTTTTCATGAGTTATATCATTACCGTTCTATTTGTTATATCAGCTTTAAAATCTGTATCTTCTTGAGTCATCCAATATCTCCATAATCTAAAACTATATTCTGATCCAGGTATCTTGATCTATGTAATAATAAAAAATATTTATACTCATATAGTTTTTAATAAAAACAAGTGTATTGTTCTTTTAGAGAATAATTTAATAAGGGGAACAAAAAAAGAAAGAAAAAGAAAAAAGGAAGAAAAAAGAAAAAGAAAAAATAAAGACCTTGGTTACAGATTTAGCTATTTCTTCAAAATGATCCACTGCCTTTCTTAATGTAGCACGCATTGCATAATTCACTTTACTTGCTCTAATGTCACCAGATTCTGATTGATAAAATATCTTCAAATTTTTTAAGTTGACTGGCTCATCTAATTTTAATTTACATGCTTTATCCCCAACCAAAACTTTTAAAAACGGTGCCAAGTCTTCAGCCTTTTTACAGATTGGACCTGCCTCTGCCATAGAGTCTGAATAATATCTGTCTCTTAATCCAATACCTTTTAAGGATGTCATTCCTACCAATTAAGAATAACAATTTTATATTATATATTATATTTTGTAATAATTTAATAATTTGAATATAAAAAGTTATGTTTAGCGTCATTAAAATATAGATTGTATTTGTAAATTTTTACCTTCGCTAGGTTTCATTCCAAAAACTCCATTATAAAATGCTGGCATTCTAGTAGATCCACCGATATCACTTCCAATAGAAAATGCAGAACCACATGCAGCGATAATAGCACCTTCACCACCACTACTTCCACCAACAGTTCTTGTTATATTGTAAGGATTACATGTCTGACCATAGAGGTTATTTCTCGATTCAACCCACAAATTAAGTTCAGGAATGTTCGTTTTTGCAATAAGTATTCCACCAGCTTTTTTCAAATGAGCAACTACTGTTGCATCAGACATTGAACGGTGCTGTCGACGACTTATCATACCCATAGTATGATGTAAATCTATAAATATAAAATATAAATGATAAAAAGTAATACAATAACACAATAAATACTCTACTTATATAGGTATCATATAGAATTATTATCTTATCAGAATGTAAGATCCAAAAACCATTATGAATAATCAAGTACAATCATTACAAATATTATAAAGGTATGAATATTCATTAATTGGTAGATTGTACAAATGAATGACTTATAAATTATATTAAATTATATTTTTAATATACTTACTTTCTACTTCATTGCTCTCTTTAGTTGTAAATGGAACTCCTAAAAATGGTCTTGTTTCTTTTAATAATAAACTATTCTCATAATTCTTTAATTCAAGATCAATTGCTCTTGCTTCCTTTAGTGCATCTGCATATCTTTCTTCTACAATCGCATTGATCAATGTATTAACTTCTTTGCATCTTTCGATAAAACTTTCTACAACTTTTTCAGCCTTAACTTGCTTTGTTCTAAATGAAAATAGAAACCAAATAATAGAAAACATATATAAATTAATTGAAATAGGAACTATATATATATATATATATTGGAGCTGTTAATAAATAACATTTTGAATATGAAATAAAATAAAAAAAAAAAAAAAAAAATAAAAAAAATAAAAAAAAAAAAGAAAAAAAAAGTGAAAGAAAATTTTTACCGTATCTTCTCTGCTAACGCTGTGGCACTCTCCAACAACAAAGGATTTTTCACGGCAGATACTTTCTTTGCTTTTTGATCATAATATAAACCAAATATAAAATCTATCACATAATCAAATATACAATGTAATTGAATAACAATGCATTTTAAAATTTCCAAAAATAATTTTTTCCCTTTTTCAAATAACGTATTCTCTGTATTTTTCTGCAAAAGAAGAAGAAAAAATAACACAAATAAATATATTATATACGTTATTAAAATCATATTAATTCATATAGATATATCTTGTAAATATTAACTTGTTGCACGTATTTTATTAATACAAGTCAAAAATTATTATATTATTTTAAATACCTTTTTTATTGAAGTACACATGATGATCGTTCTAATAAACGTTAGTTGAACAGAATTATTCGATAATATTAAAAATAATATTAATAATATTCAATGACAATATTTGAAATCTTAAATTACGTAGTGTCATATATCTTCTTATAGCTGTATATCTTTCTCATGTCATATGCATGACAATGTTTAATTATAATTTATCGATGAATAAGCAAAACGAAGGATAAATTAATGAAAATAAATTAAATGTAATATTGGTTATTATTCAAATGCTAAGATACTTGTTATTGCGAACGAACTAGAAACAGATGATAACTGACTTTAATTAAATTTTTTGTTCTTCCTTCTGAAAAACTACTTAACAGAATAACTATTTATATTATAATATTGTATGTGTTGTACATATACGCAATAATCTAAGTTTCACTAATGTGCCGATAGACGTTACAAATCCTTAAGATCGTATATATATATATAGATCGTATATATATATATATATATATGTGTATATAAAGAAATACAAATTAACTTTTGTTAATGTTCAACTTTACAATGTTACACAGAGACAATTGAAAGGCATAGCAATCACTTTAAAGCAACACTTTGAAAAAATAATCACATAGGATATAATCGATCATTAATAATTAATTTGTATTTAAGAGTCTAAAAATAAATTAAAAAAAAAAAAGAAAAAAAAAAAGAAGATTCATTCAATTTTAACCAATAGAAATTCATATCGCTTTACAACGCATTCTTTTATATATATATGTATATATATTAATCCCGTTATTTCGTAAATATTATCAAAGTAATTCTATTAAAATCTTTTCAAGGTTAAGTAGATTATTTGATATCTTGTATGAAAAGCAATTGTGGACGGTTAATTTCAAGGTTACAAAGAGGTCACAATGATACCTATCAAAAAGATTTTGTTCTATGGAATTTTTACGATATATTCTCGAAATATTGATTAAAACTTTTCTGATATACTCTATATAATTCTATTATAAAGATTCTCGTTATCCGATTGGATATGAAGAAATTTGTCCAAATATATACTGTTCACAATGATCCTATAGACATAGAAATCACATGTAATGTATACTTCTCAAATTGTAACTATCATTGGTTATAATTTTCACTTGTTAAAATAAATCGTAAGACGCGTATCTTATTTATGATGTATCTTTGGTATATAGGTGTGTATTTTACGAACTATAGTAGTAGTGACAAATTAGTTTGGTGAGTAATATTCAATATAGAAAAATTTTTAATATATCTGTCATCTCTTATTATTATACGTATACGTATATATATATATATATATAGAAGTATATATATATGTATATATATATGTCGTCATATCTCATTTTTTGATTTCGTATCTTTATAAGATTTTTGTGAAATGCTGAATGACGTCTGATATTGTCAATTCTTTATTATCGAATTATAATAAAATTCTCTGTTTATCGTTTATCTTTTAGAAAACTTTTGTGCTTATTAAATTAATACGTATTACCTGTCATTCTAGGATTAAATCAATATAGAAGACATATTATTAACTTGAAAGGTTGCAAACTAACCGTCACAACGGGGATCGAACAGTCAGCCATGTCCGTCTCTCAGATGGAAAGTATCCTTTTTAATAATTATTTATATCATTTCTAACGATTATGTTTGATATTATATAAATGTATAAATAGATAATGATCTTTTATATTTGATATTAATTAATATGTATAATTTGTGATATATGAATTATCTGACATTATCCGAATGTATTTCGATTGATCGTGAATGATTGATTAATAAGAAATATTAAAATAAAAATTCAATTATTTTATATCTTTATTTATAATGTACAAATGGATATCAATATAGTTTTTGATTTAATTTAATAAAAGATTTTTTTTAATACAAAACATTACATATAGGTTATATTATGTCTTAATAATATCGTTTAATATCTGTTATTAATAGTTTATATTATAGATGTTTTGTTTGTTATTATTCTCATATATTTAATATTTTCTATATATAATTGAAAATTTCTTACATATAATATATAGAGAATTTGTTTAACTTAAAGTTCGCTGTAAAGGAATTAGAGAGAAATTCCAAAAAATGCGAGAAAGAAGAGAAAATAGAAAAGGCGAAGGTAAAGAAGGCAATACAGAAGGGAAATATGGAAGGAGCAAGAATACATGCTGAAAATGCAATTAGACAAAAAAATCAAGCATTAAATTATCTACGTATGAGTGCTCGTGTTGATGCCGTTGCCAGTAGGGTGCAAACTGCATTAACAACAAGAAAGGTTACACAATCTATGGCTGGTGTAGTCAAAGCAATGGATGCTGCAATGAAGTCAATGAATTTAGAAAAAATATCAGGTTTAATGGACAAATTTGAAAGTCAATTTGAAGATTTGGATGTTCAAAGTTCATACATGGAAAATGCAATGTCACAAACAACAACAACAAATGTACCACAAAACGATGTTGATGCATTAATGCAACAAGTAGCAGATGAAGCTGGGTATGCTTTGTATTATTATTTATTAGCTAATACATATACAATAGTCATTCTTGTTTATTAGTCTTTTTTTTATTTAATAAATATATATGTATGTATATAAATATATATATATATATATATATATATATGTGTGTATGTGTATATTTTAGTCTTGAATTAAACATGGAACTTCCACCTGGACAATTAGGAAGTATTGGATCTTCTATATCTGTAAGTCAGGAACAGGATGAACTTACACAACGGTTGGCACGCTTAAGAGAATAATACCAACTTATTTATGTAATAAAAATGTTATATATTTACAGCTTAAATGAAATAGATACTACTAAAATTGATCTTAGTGCTCTATATTTTAATAGTGTTATACCAAATGTTAGTTACATTGTGAAATACATGTAGATATATAAAATAATACTAATCTAATTTCTAATACACGATTAAATAATACACAGTGTAACTAATAGTTATTATCTATTATAATATAGTTATTTGTATATTATATATGTTTATATATTCATAACATTTTTATTATATAAAATCAATTTTTGCAATATAATTTTAATTAATTTTAGTTCAATTTATATGCTTATACATACAATCAATATACTCTTTGTACTTTAAAAGTCAGGGTATTATTTAATATTTTTTTGATGTGAAACATTTAAAAACTTAATATATTTGTAAAATTATAAAAAACGAAAAATCTAAATATTGTACTATTTTGCAATAATAACGTTTACAACTTAAGATGAACAAGATTTAAATTAGATCACTATGTATTCTTTAAAATTCCGAAAAGCAGGCATAACAAAATTTTTACTATATTTGACAATATCTGTTTTTAATATTGTAATATTGCATTATTAATAGGTATATAGGAATTTAAATAAGATAATATATACTTTTTTATTCTTATTAATTTTTTTTTATATCAATAATCCAAACAATTAACATGCACAGGAGTATTTGTTAAAGCACAACAATAATTATAGAATATTTATATATTACATACACATATGTAAATAAAATTCTATCTCTGTAATGCTGATAAATGTTTGTTCCATAAGTTGCTACTATTTTTTATGAACTTTTTGGTCAATGACATTAATTGCATAAAATTTAAATACAATTAAAAACTACCTTTTCATTTATTACTATGGCATAGAAAGAAAAAAAGAAAAAATGTTTAATATTTCATTATAAAAATGAAGCTAACCTTAAATTCTTGCTTTAGCTTTCTGAAATGATTCATGTATGTACTTTTGTAATTATTTATAAAACATGTAATATATTACTGACTTAAAAAAAAAACAAAATCGTAAAGAAAATTTTAATATAATATTAAGAAAAACCTTATCTTATAATATAATATATTATTTTTAAAGGATCATCAGTAGTACTTAATAATTATGTTATATTATCATAAGGAAATAATTTCCTAATTTCCATCTGAGAATTTTTTTATCCAAAGTGTATCATAAGGCATAGCTTGTTTTAAAGTAATCTTTTTTTCTTGATGTAATTCTAAAAAAGAGAATTTTTTTTAACATTAATTTTTTATTATAAAAATACTTTGTATTAAAAAAAAATAAGAGTTTACCTAAAAGTAGTAAATAACAATATGCCGCATCGGCTTTACTATATTGACCAGGTGAAATAACGTCAATGAATCGAACTAATTCTGTATCATGCCAGAGAACTTCTAAGAGTGCAAGCAAATCCAATTTTGTTAACATACATGACTGCGAGAGTTTAATAGTTTCCTGACTAAAAAGAGAAAATAAATAAGTAAACACATGTTATTTTTAAAAGCTGTAATATTATAATTAGCAGTAACAATTAAATATATATGAACTTAATTATATTGTAATTATACATAATTAATCATATATATATATATATATATATATATATATATATATATATATATATATATATATATATATGATCACTATATTTATATTATAAATGAAAATACATTTTATAAATGATATTTCGCATTTATAGTAAATTTTTTAACTTACGACTGATCTATTTTTTTTTCATGGGTTGTCAAGTCAGGACCTGTTCCATTTCGTGCAATATTTAATAGACCAAAGTCTTGTTCAATGCTTTGTAAATCTATTTGTTGTTCGACATTTGAGATAATTAATTCCTGCTGTGAACTTTCCAATTCACGAACACTAGTTTCTTTAATAGATTTTCCATTTGCATCAATGTACTTTATCGCAGATAATTCAGCAAGCAATTCATCAGACTTATTGCTTCTTTCTACCAAACGTAAAATTTCAGCAGCTAGAAATTTACATTATGTTATCATTAGATTAAAATAATTGTTAAATAATAGAATTTGTTTTTTTTTTATACAAGCAATACATTTTTCTAGCAATGGAAATTCCATTTGTGCTTTCTTTCTCATAGATGATATAGCAACGTTTACATTGAAAAGTTTAATTAAGGGACTATTCCATTTGTTTTTGCGAATAGAAAGAAATCTTGCTGGTGCTGCTTGAAAAAGAATTTCTAATGTTGGTATATTCACATTATTTATACTTAATGGCTAAAAAATAACAGTGGATGATTAATGTTTTACATTAATTCTTTTATATAATGTTAATTCATTCTTGTACAAAATCTGAATGAACTTACAACAGTTTCGGCATTGATATTACTTATCCACTTTCTTATTACTTTATGATTGAGTTTTGTATTTTTATCAGCTAATTTTCTCTTTCTTTTTGATTTTATTTTTATCTGTTGTGGATCTTCATGCGTTGATTCCAAGTTTTGTAATGGTTCTATAGAAAAGTCTGAGGTAGGAATAGGAACAGGAACTACTTCAGTTTCTGGTATTGTTGCAATATCAGCTTTATTTGGAACTGTTATATCTTCGAATCTTAACTTAAATAATAATTCTCGAATTATTCCTAATTGTTACTAATAATAATTTACTTGTGTGATAAAATACATACGCGTCTTCTTTTGGTTGGTGTTTCTATATGTGTTATTTCAGAAGGTTGTCTTTTACGAGGTGTTAAATAAGTACTTCCTTCTGGCATAAATTCTTCCACAGTTACATCTGGTAATGTTACCTTTTTAAATGCTGTATGATGTTCCTCATCTGAAACATAAACATATTATATCAAATGTACAATGAGTGTTATTACTATTACTATTATTATTATTATTATTATTATTATTATTAATTTTGTAATGATATAAAGTTAATTTAGCTTCTTACCTCTTAAGGTTAAATCATCACGTACAAGAGATATTACCATTTCCTTTTCAGCTCTATCAAATGGTATATAAAATTCTTCTGAATCTCTTAATGTATTTGCATTGTAAAGAGATATATCATTTGTAATGTGCATTCTTTCAAACATTTCTCTGTATAATAAAAAAGGAAAATAATCTAATAATAATTATAATGAATATAAAAGCACAATGATTTTCCATTTTTTATAACAAAGAAATAAATTGCATAATTACGATTGATAGTAAAAATGATATTAATTTGATTTCTTTGAATACATGAAAATTTTGTACATTTTAAGATTACTTTGAATGAAGGAAAAAAAAAAAGAAAAAAGAAATAGAAATACTAACGCTGAGAAATCTGCATCAGGTTGACTTAAAAAACGAATTTTTTCTTCTGTTAAAGCACCAAACTCTAAACAATCAGCATCATGCATCTATATACATATATATATATGTAATTATTCATTAGATTTTCAAACATTATGTTATATTAATAATGAAATGTAAATATAATATATCACATGTAAAAAAATATCCTCATTATATATAATAATGTTTGTCCATAATAAGTGTATGTGTGTGTGTGTGTCTGTGTGTGTGTATGTATATTTAGATACAAAATATGAAAATGACATTTTGTTTAATCTTTTATATATTTACCATATTTCTTATATTTCATATGTCATATATTTACCATATTTCTAAGTTTGGTGTTAACATTGGGTTCATAAGCTAATAATTTAAAAGCATCATGCAATTGATCACTACTTGCTGAAGGTACATTCAAAGAATCAATATATTTTTCATTTTCTTCTTCATCCCTGTTTAAAAATAATTATAATTTTCGACAGAAATCATCTTTCAAAAAAAAAAAAAAAAATCCAGTTATATACCTCTTGTCAGTCTTGGTAATCTTGTCAAACATATTTTCAAGTTCAATAAGATCTTCTAGAATAATAAAGATTATAATATTATAAAATATATTGTAGAATAATATATATATATATATATATATTTTATTTTATCAGTATGATATATCTTATATATACATGTATATAGATATAAAATAATTTGATTTCTATGGAATATAAAAAACTTAATATTAACTTACTTTCTAAATAACATGTTTGACACAAAAGTATTTTTGTAACACCGTACATTAATTGAGATGATAAGTAAAGACTAACTCTATCGGTTGATTCATTATTTCTCATTTCAATCATATCTTTCATATCATTACTTTATTAGAATAAACAAATTCTTTATTAATGCGTATTAATTCAAAAAAAAAAAAAAAAAAAGAAAAATAAATAGAAAATGAAAATATCATTAATTATACTGACCACATTTGACAAACATCAATTTCATTTATAGTTAATGATCTAAACTTTCGTTGAAATTTTTTAATACTGAAGGTAGCAGCTAACCAACATTTTGCGAATTTTCCTTTTTTCTTTCCAGCAAAAAGTTCAAATGGACCGAACATCTAGTGCAAATAGAAAAAAAGAAAAAAAGAAAAAAAAAACGAAAGAAAACAAATAATGAATTAAGTTTATTTTATCTACTTCTTCAAAATATTTAAAGTACTTGTAAAAAAGAAATGAAAATATTTATAAAGTAAAATATGTAAATTTCTTTTTTTTTTTTTTTTAAATATAAATATTGTGAAATATTATTCATTTAACATTTTTCAAATAAAAGTTATAATTCTTTTTTGTATTTTCTTAAATTAAAAAAGTATATTGTATTATAATGACTTCTTCTTCTTCTTTTTCTTCTTCTTATTATTATTTTTAAAATATAATTTTTGTGTTTTATATAATTTTAATGATTTTTTTCTTTTCTTCTTACTATTAAAATCGTAATTAAATATTAAAATTGTAACCGTTCGATCACTTTATAATCGTAAATCGATGCATATCGATCGATAATCGAAATGTTCGTCGGCTATTGATTGGTTGAAAAGATTTAACCTATTTGTATCATTGAAAGATTTGAAAAATATGCTCATATTAATAATTTATCATTTTAAACGTAAAAACTTATAAATTAATACTTTCGATAATTATTCAATTATTAAAACAATTATTTAAAGTACACTTTGTAGAATAAAGTAATATTTAAATGATAATATATTCCCTTAAACATTACAAAGCTCGTAACGCGCGGGAAACTTATAATAATTTTAATTCAAAATTTCAATAGTTAAAAAATTTTATCCCGATAAACGTAAAGTATAATTAATCGATATTTAAACAATAGGACGTTCTTATCAATGTTATAAAGATTATATATATATATATGTACTCTCATATACTATCGATTTAAAATTGAAACGCACAGAAAACTTTATTTCATTTTATTCTTTCGAAATTTATAGTACAGGAATTTCAAATCTAACAGGAAAAAAAACATTAATAAGAATGTTAATATTGATATTTAATTTTAAATAACTACAGTGCAATAACACGTCTAAATACATAGAGTTACATGAATATTAAAATTAATTAATTGTTTTACTGAATAACAGCTCTTAAAGTTGTGAAGTATGAAAAGGCCGAAGATAGGTATTAAAATATATATATAAAATTATAAAATTTATCGATGTGTATGAGAAGTATTGACAATTATAAAGATAATGAACCTACCGACATATAATAAGCAAGTTATCTATGATTTCTACGTTTTAATTATTAATTTTATTATAATACCAAGCTCAATGAACGCCATTAATTAAAGTACAAATTACTAGAATTAGAAATAAATAGAAATTACTAGAAAAAATTGATAGCATTATATTGGATGTTGTAATAATATGAAATAACGTAAATGATAATAATATTATTGTTAATTTAATAATATTACAAGATTAAGTACGGGTAATTTCCTTTTTTTCATTTTCTAGAATTATTACGACGAGCTGTAATCGTTTTATCAAGATAATGGAGAAATACACAAAGACAAACATAATATGGCGTTTTATTTTTTTTCGGTAGAAGAGTAGCTTTGATTACAAGAGACGTTTATAAATGAAAGGTAGATATATACACGTGTGCATGTGCATTAGGAATAATAATATCCAATACATATCCATCTTTATAAACTCATAATATAACGTTAAGATATATCCTTCTTGTTCTCTTGTAACAATTATGTTATTACTTTTTCCATTTTGATTTTAGAATAAATGGTACATAATTATATATAGTAATATATAATTATCGTACGGTATATATATATATATATATATATATGCAGAAGAATACGCTTTATGTACTCTATATAAAGCAAATATATAATAATATAAATATACGTGTACGTTTATGGTATATAAAACATATTACCTTCTTACGTTTTACAATTTTAACTCAATTCAATTTTAATTTTATTTGTAGTAACATCTATATAAGATTTTTTTTTTGTCTTTGTATTAATAACAATCTATCTAATTGATCTATCTGATTTATTGTTTAAATGACTGCAGCACGTAACGTTGTAAAGTACGAGAATGATGAAGATAGAAACTGTAAATAGAATAAAAAATATAATAAATGAATATATATATATATATATATATATATATTTATTTTTTATAATATTTAATTATCTTGTTAGGCTTACCGAAGCGTAATATTTTAGAGATAACGCTGGTAAAACTCCATCGATGTTAACAATTACAGGTTTTTGAGATCTTTGGATCAAAATGCACATACTTTTCAATACTTTTGTTGATTGTCCAATCCAATTAGAATTATATACCGATAATCCAATGGCTATACTCTTTACGAAACATATACGATAATTAATATCATAATGGAATAATTTCCTAAATATATTTAATTATTACATTATATATATATATATATATATATATATATATATATATATATATATATATATATTATACATATGGAATAAGATTTACCATTCCTGCTAAATTTTCAGCTGGATGAGAACATAGAAATAATTGAATAACTGCACCAATAACGAGAATGACGAATTGAATTTTCATGGTTGTTGATTTCGCCTGTAATCGAGAAAAAGAAAAGGAAAAAAAAAGAAAAGAAAAAAGAAAAGAAAAAAGAAAAGAAAAGAAGAATTAATATATCAAAGGATATAATTCAATAAAATTCAATATGATAAGGAAAATATTCAATAATATAAGATAGAGATAAATTTTTACATAACTAACAAAAATAAGTTGTAATCCACCGAATATCATGATCATGGCCGATATGCAAGTAGTTATAAGAATGATATAACGTACAGTTATAACAACGTCCTTTGCGTATCTAAAAATGAAACGTAACGTGTGATAGGATAAGTATTTAATTTCGTAAAAAGCAAAGAAAAAAAAAAAAAAAGAAAAAAAGAAAAAAAGAGAAAAAAGAAAGGAGAAAAGAATAAAGCCAATTATATCGTGATAAACTATTAATAATTTACCTTAGCAAATGCAAATGTTTACGTATGCAACAATTTAAATCGAATAAATTGATAAATCTTGTTAATTCCACGCACAAAATTTCAAATCTTGCCGAGGTGAACCACAATAAAACTGCAACCTGACAATCAATGGTACCACCGACGGATGCTAAAATTCCAACGAATCCTTGGTGAAAGTAAATTATTTCGTATATGGGATGCGAATCAACTTTAAAAGGATACTTGGCGTATGTTGGCAATGGTTGGGATAATATCGTCGGTCCTAAAATAAGACCTGAACAAATCACGTAAAAGCCAATGGTTGTAATTAAATGAAAAATCGCACATCTCTTTACGTAATTTTTTAATATTCTTTTTTCCAAAGGGTTAGCTCGTTTCACGAAATTTTCCATCTCCAGGATTATCGACTGCGATCAAGAACAGGAAAAAAAAAAGAAAAAAAAGAAAGAAAGATGAAATGAAAAATAGAACAAACATCGAACTAACTCGTTCGAACGTTGAAACGAAATTGTCAAAAAGGGTAATGATGGAAGGAAAAATGAAAAAAAAAAACGAAGAGAGAGAGAGAGAGAGAGAAGAAATAAAGTACAAAAAAAAAAGGAAAAAGAGAAAAATTTGATTTACCTGAAATTTCCAACGTTGCTTTCTCAATATCAACATCTTTATACACATTTGACAGACACCTGCTAGAATGCACGTAGTTTGTATCGTAATTAAAGTATTCTGACGATACTCATAAATCCCATTAATTAATGCTAAAAGTAAGAACGTAGCGGTTAAAAACGATGTCCACCAATAAATGTCACGCAAGAGTAATTGTTTTTTTGTTGCGTTTAAAGGTGGCGGCCAACAGCCCATTATTATAACACTCATTTTCGTAAATTTCAAAGCAGTTTCCGGTGTAATATCAAATATCATTATTTATTACAATATATAACAATAAATTCGCTCGATAATGTTATAAGATTGATCGTACGTATGAAATACTTTTGTAACCATCGACTTGATATTAGATCGTTACGATTTACTGACTTTCGATAACTTATCATAAATACAATCTCAATAATGACGTTCGTTCGTGTACGCGTATCGAGAGATCGAGCGAAATAAATAAATCAATCATTTGACAATTAATGTATACAACGTTGCTTTCACGACCTAACTATTATCATCGATTACTTCGTAATGCCGGTTTAAATTCAATGTTTCTACGATATTATCCGAAGTTTATTTCCTTTCATCGAATTTCAATTAGATATATTATATTTATCGAATAATGAATACCGTTTAAAATACATTCGAAGAATTCTAATTTTTTCTTTCTTTCTTTTTCCTTTTTTCTTTTCCTTTCATTTCTTTTCTTTTCTTTTCATCATCTTAAGCTATGATTACAAATCTATAGTCCGCATTGTAATGATATAGGAAAGCGTAGAAAAATATCATTTCATATCTTTTGCACTTACGGTTACGTATTCCATCATGCTTATAAAGATTACTATTTCCTCTATTCCCTCCCCACCCCCCACACCTTCTCACCGTACACCCTTTCGTAAGAGTATGAATATGTTATCAAGGGTTTTCATACTTCTTTTCTTTTTCTTCTTCTTCTTCTGCTTTTTTTGTTTTTTTCTTCTCTCTTTAACTTCGTTATTATCATTCATTATTTCGCATCAATACTTCCACCCTTATTTTCTTTTCCCTAGTTCTATTTCTTTGTATTATCGAGGAACAAATTATGAATTTTCTTCACGTATGTATATGACGAATGTGTTAACTTTATTTTCATTTATTGAAAGCAGACATCAGTTGAGGGACTTGTTTTACTTTTTTTTTTTTTCTTTTTTTTTCTTCTTCTAGAGAAATGTACCTTTTAGATAATCAAGCGTCGAATAGAAAGCAAGTAAGTAAATAAATTTGTGATATTTAATTTATAGATCTATTCTTTCTTCTTTCTTTTCTTTTTCTTTTTTTTTCTTTTTTTCTTTTTTCTTATTTTAATCTTTTCTTATTTTAACATTTTCATGAGAGAATGGAATAATTTTCAATGATTTTTCTATACTTTTTATTAATCGTTTATTGTTTTGCATCTATATTCGACATTTCCATCCTAATTTTCTTTAAATTAATTCTTCTTCTTCCTACAAATGCTTATTCTTCTTTATACAAATACAAAAAATTAATTAATCGTTTTATTTAACAGCAGCTCTCAATGTTGTGAAGTATGAAAATGACGATGACAGAAACTGAAATATATATAATCGCGAAATTTATCGATGTGAGTGAGAAGTATTGACAATTATAATGATAATGAACGTACCGACATGTAATAAGTTAGGGACAATGCAGGTATAAATCCAGGAATACTGACTGTAATTGGTTTTTGAGATCTTTGAATTAAAAAGCAAACATTTTTCCATATTTTTCTTGATTTATCAATCCAATTCAAATCGTAAACTGCCGATCCAATCGCAGTACTCTTCAATGATAATTTTTAATAAAATAATATAATATACAAGTTATATAATAATCATTATATGTATGTTGTCTAAATAAAAAAAAGAGGAACCATTCAATTTACCATTTCAATTAAATTTTCAGCCGGATATGAGTTCAAAAATAATTGAACAATAGCGACAATATCCAATACGAGAAATTGAAATTTGACCGCTACTGAATCTGACTATCGTTAAAAAGATAAATGCATTAAAAAGAAATTATAATATTAATAAAATGAATAAGAATATGTATAGATATTGATCATGCATGTAAATATGAATATTGTCTTCTTTGGATAAATTTCTTTTGAATCTTTTCAATAATAATGATTATTTAATTATTATAATAATGATACTAACGAATAAGAGTAAGAGTCCACTAAATACTATTAATATGGTCGTAATAAAAACAGTGGAAAAAATCACAAAACGCACAGTTTTCACTATATTTCCTGCGTACCTAAAAAAGAAATAAGAATAACACGTGTTCATGTTTTTATTGAATACAATTTTTCATTCATATTCTAATGAGAAAAATATTACCTGAGTATTTGACCATGTTTCACTATACATCGTTTAAGATCATATTCGTCGACAATATTGGCTACTTCAATTTCCAACATTTCAAATCTTGCTCCAGCGAACCATAGTAAAAGTGCGACCTGACAATCAATCGTTGCACCTGTACAAGCTTGTATGCAAGTAAATGCTTGTTGAAAATAAATAATTTCGTAAATGGGATGTGATTCCGTGTCGAAAGGATAAACCGCAAAAGTTGGTAACGATTGTGATAAAAATATTGGTCCCAAAACGATATTCGTACCGGCTAAATAAAATCCAAATGTAAGAGATATGTGTAGTATCGCAGATCTATTCACATATTTTTCTAATATAGCTTTTTCGTATGGCGCGGCTTGTTTAATAATATTTTCCATTTCCATTATTATCGACTGAAATGATCGATATAATATTATAGATGACGTATTAATTGGTAATGACAAACCAAATTCAACTTCTAATTTTATATTAAACCTGCAAACTCGAACGTTTCATTCTACATGCCATCATTTTAATACTCATTTGTATAATTGCGATTGCAATGCACATTGACTGTATCAGTATCTCGAAATTATTGCGATGAACGTACATTCCATTTAGTAACAACAGTAACATCGTCTGAGCGCATAGAAAAGAAGCGCAAAAATAAATATCGAGAAAGAACAATTTTTTTTTCGAAGTGTTCGTCGATGGTGGCCATGCAACTAATAGAGCAACGCTTCCCTTCGTAAACTTTAATGCTTTTTCATGAGTAAATTTCATGACAATATAATTTGTTTGATTTTTTTGTTTTTTATTGTTTTTCTTTTCGTTCTTTTTCTCTCTTAACGTGACCGTTCTGAACGCGAACAGAAAACTACTCGACGCTGATAAAAAAAAACCGGTCTATAGATCGTAATTTTTATTTAGGGATGAACGAAGATAGAATAAGATTTCCTTCGGTACTTTACAAACGGAGAAATACTCTCTAATTCTACGCTCGATATTCTTGCACAAACGCTTATTTCAACTTCAGCCTATAATGTAGTTTCGCTAGTTTGGATCGTTGAAGGAAATAAATCAATCAGGAGTAACCTACACGCCACATGTATTTTACGTATCTGTAATTCCTTTAAATTATTGGATACGAAGAAAATAAGCGATTCTTTCAGCACTTTTTCTCCGATAAGTTCTTTCTTACATGTAATTTTGTAATTTGAGAATGCGATGATAGAATAGCAATAAATGACTATACATCTAGTGAAACAAGCGAGTAGATTGCAAATTTATGTTTCCTTTTTTGCAAAAATGAAACCATGTCCAATCATTTTCTATGGAGCCTTTTTCTCTAGGTTCAATTATGGTTTTACTGTGGAATGGAACATTTATACGAAGAATTTAGAAAACAAATACACGGAGGGATATCCTTTAAATTTCGACAATATTTGATATTTTTCTAAACATTAGTACATTCTAAATATGTAAGTACAATTTCGTTATTGAATTTACTAAATTTATACTATTAACTACTAGGAACCTAATCACTAATAAAAAAATACTATGAATATTTTAAGTGAAATCGAGTTGTAACTTATTACAGGATTTAAATATACCTTCATTAATGACGTTAATTGGTTTAATCGATAAAATTTCCTCCGTATTTTCCGTGAATCGAAGTAAAAAAAGAAATTCATCGTTTAATATTAATTTTTATATAATTTTTTTAGATATTGATTCGATAGATACCAATGTATAGTTATTTAAAATAAATAATTTCGTGGATGTGCGAGTGAATAAATCATTCGACAGGTTATAAATTATTTCTTCCACTTTTTGCTGCAAAATTAATAATTACTACGTGTATAATGTCATTATTTATGCGTGTCAGTGAACTTTCTGTGCCTACATTGAATCTATTTCAATTAGATATATTCTGTTTCTTGTAGAATATTCATACATAAAATTTATCTTGAGATTTTTAATTTTTTGATTATTTTTTTCATATAGTCTGCTGCTTTAATTTTATAGTATTGATTATTATCTACTAAAAGGCATAGAAATTGTTTTAGTACGTCTTTTACTTCTGATTTTGTATTCCATTATGCATAGACGAAAATACAATGTTCTTTGTACTTCTCTTACATTCTGATGGGAGAATAGGATAATTTTCAATGATTTTTCTATACTTTTTATTCATCGTTCATTATTTTGCATCTATATTTGACATTTCCATCTTTTTTCACACAAATGCTCCTTCTTCTTCTTTATATTAATGAAAAAACTTAATTAATCGTTTTATAGAACAGCAGCTCTCAATGTTGTGAAGTATGAAAAAGACGATGACAAAAACTAAAATATATATAATCGCGAAATTTATCGATGTGTATGAGAAGTATTGACAATTATAAAGATAATGAACCTACCGACATATAATAAGTTAGAGACAATGCAGGTATAAATCCAGGAATACTGAGTGTAATTGGTTTTTGAGATCTTTGAATTAGAAAGCATACATTTTTCCATATTACTAGTGATTTATCAATCCAATTCAAATCATAAGCTGCCGATCCAATAGCAGTACTCTTCAATAATAAATTTTAATAAAATAATATAATATATAAATTGTATAATAATTATTATATATATATTGTCTAAATAAAGAAAGAGGGCCATTTAATTTACCATTTGTATTAAATTTTCAGCTGGATGAGAGTTCAGAAATAATTGAATAATAGCGACAATATCCAGTACAAAGAATTGAAATTTGATCGTCATTGAATCCGTCTATTGTAAAAAATATTTTACATTGAAAAGAAAGTATTCGAAATATTTATAAAATTATTTGGAATACGTATAGATATTTATCATGCATATAGATACGTGTACATAAATCGTCTATTATTTCAATTAAAACATATTACGAATATCTGTTATTTAATTGTTATAATAATAATACTAACAAATAATAGTAAGACCCCACTAAACACAATTAATATGGTCGTAATAGCAACAGTAGCAAGAATTACGAAACGCACAGTTTTTACTATCTTTTCTGCATAACTAAAATAATATATATAAATAACTCAGGTTCCTGTATTTATTGAATAAAATTTTTTTTTCATGTTCTAATGAGAAAGCCATTACCTGAGTATATGACGATGTTTTTGTATACATCGTGTAAGATCATATTCGTCGACGATATTTGCAAATTCAGCTTTCAACATTTCAAATCTTGCACCAGCGAACCATAGTAAAAGTGCAGCCAGGCAATCAATCGCTGCAGCTGTACAAGCTTGTATAGCAGTTAATGCTTGTTGAAAATAAATAATTTCGTAAATGGGATGTGATTCCGTGTCGAAAGGATAAACCGCAAAAGTTGGTAACGATTGTGATAAAAATATTGGTCCCAAAACGATATTCGTACCGGCTAAATAAAATCCAAATGTAAGGGATATGTGTAGTATCGCACATCTTTTCACATATTTTTCTAATATAGCTTTTTCGTATGGCGCGGCTTGTTTAACAATATTTTCCATTTCCATTATTATCGACTAAAATGATCGATATAATATTATAGATGACGTATTAATTGGTAATAGTAAAGCAAATTCAACTTCTAATTTTATATTGAACCTGTAAACTCGAACGTTGCATTCTACATGTCATCATTTTAATACTCATTTGTATAATAGTGATTGCAAAGCACATTGACTGTATCATTATCTCGAAATTATTGCGATGAACGTACATTCCATTTAGTAACAACAGTAACAACGCCTGAGCGCATAGGAAGGAAGCACAAAAGTAAACATCGAGAAAGAACAATTTTTTCCTCGAAGTATTCATCGGTGGTGGCCATGCAAGTAATAGAGCAACGCTTCCCTTTGTAAACTTTAATGCTTCTTCGTGAGTAAATTTCATGACAATATAATCTGTTTGATTTTTTGTCTTTCTTTTTTTATCTTTAACGTGACCGCTCTGTATGCGAACAGAAAACTATTCGACACTGATAAAAAACCGATCTATAGATTTTTATTTAGGGATGAACGTAGATAGAATAAGATATTCTTCGGTACTTATTTTACAAACGATGAAGTACTCTCTAATTCTACGCTCGATATTCTTCCGTAAACGCTTATTCCAACTTCAACCTATAATGTAGTTTCGCTAGTTCGGATCGTTGAAGGGTATAAATTAATCAGGAGTACCCTACACGCTACACGTTTCTTACGTATCTGTAATTGCTTTAAATTATTGGATGCGAAGAAAATAAGCGATTCTTTCCGCACTTTTTCTCCGACAAGTTCGTTCTTACATGTAATTTTGCAGTTCGAGAATACAATGATAGAATAGAAATATATGATTGTACATCTATTGAAACAAGCGATTAGATTGCAAATTTATGGTTTTTTTTTGCAATAATGAAACCGAGTCTAGTCATTTTCTATAACGTCTTTTTCTCTTGATTCATTTAAAGTTTTACTGTGGAATGGAACATTTATACGAAGAGTTCAGAAAACAAATACACAGAGAGATATCCCTTAAATTTTGAGAATATTTGATATATTTCTGAAAATTTGTACATTACAAATATGTAAGTACAGTTTAGTGATTGAATTTACTAAATTTTTTCTCTTAACTACTTGGAATCTAATTACTAATAAAAATATACTATGAATATTTTAAGTGTAATCGAGTTGTAACTTATTACAGGATTTAAATATACATTCATTAATGACGTTAATTAGTTTTATCGATAAAATTTCTTCCGTATTTTCGGTGAATCGAAATAGAAAAAGAAATCCATCGTTTGTAATTTTAATTGTGTAATTTTTTACATATAAATTGTATAGAAGCCAATGTGTCGTATAAAATGAATAATTTCGTGGCTGTCCGAACAAATAAGTCATTTTGGGGAAGTGCGAATAAATAAGTCATTTCGTGGATGTGCGAATAAATAAGAAATTCGTCTTCATATCTATTATTACTTTCACTTTTTTCTGCAAAATTATTATTTACTATGTGTATAATGTCATCATTTATGCGTGTCATTGAACTTTCTGTGCCTACATTGAATTATTTTCAATTACATATATTCTGTTTTCTGTAGAATATTCATACATAAAATATATTTTGAGATTTTTAATTTGTTAATTATCTTTTTCATGTAGTCTGCTACTTTAAATTTATAGTATTGATTATTATCTACTAAAAGTCATAGAAATTGTTTTAGTACGTCTTTTACTTCTGATTTTGTATTTCAATATCCATAGACGAAAATATAATGTTCTTTATACTTCTTTTACATTTTGATGAGAGAATAGAATAATTTTCAATAATTTTTTTGCACTTTTTATTCGTTTATTGTTTAGCATATATATTCGACATTTCCATTTTTTTTCACACAAATGCTTTTTCGTCTTTTTATATAAATGCAAGAAATTAATTAATCGTTTTATTTAACAGTAGCTCTCAATGTTGTGAAGTATGAAAATGACGATGACAGAAACTGAAATATATATAATCGTGAAATTTATCGATGTGTGTGAGAAGTATTGACAATTATAAACATAATGAACGTACCGACATGTAATAAGTTAGGGACAATTCAGGTATAAATCCAGGAATACTGACTGTAATTGGTTTTTGAGATCTTTGAATTAGAAAGCAAACATTTTTCCATATTTTTCGTGAGTTATCCATCCAATTCAAATCATAAGCTGTCGATCCAATTGCAGTACTCTTCAATAATAATTTTTAATAAAATAACATATTATACAAGTCGTATAATAATCATTATATATATGTTGTCTAAATAAAAAAAGAAGAACGATTCAATTTACCATTTGTATTAAATTTTCAGCCGGATATGAGTTCAGAAATAATTGCATAACAGCAACAATATCCATCACGAGGAATTGGAATTTGACCGCTACGTCATCTGACTATCGGTAATAAAATAAATGCATTAAAGAGAAATTATAATATTAATAAAATGAATAAGAATTTGTATAGATATTAATCATGCATGTAAATATGAATATTGAGTTCTTGGAATAAATTTTAATTTGAATCTTTTCTGAATCTTTTAAATAATAATGATTATTTAATTGTTATAATAATGATACTAACGAATATGAGTAGGAGTCCACTAAACACCATTAATATGCTCGTAATACAAACAGTAGCAAAAAGTACGAAACGCACAGTTTTTATTACCTTTCCTGCGTAACTAATGAAGAAATAAGAATAACAGGTATTCATGTTTTTCTTGAATAAATTTTTGTTTTCTTATTCTAATTAGAAAAATATTACCTGATTATTTGACAATGTTTCACTATACATCGTCTAAGATTGTATTCGTCGACAGTATTGCATAATTCAATTTCCAACATTTCAAATCTTGCACCAGTGAACCATAGTAAAAGTGCAACCTGGCAATCAATCGTGGCAGCTGTAGAAGCTTGTAAAGCAGTTAATGATTGTTGAAAATAAATAATTTCATAAATGGGATGTTTTTCTACGTCGAATGGATAAGTTATAATATTTGGTAACGGGTGTGGTACAAATATTGGTCCTAAAATAATATTCACACTGGCTAAATAAAATCCAAATGTAAGAGATAGGTGTAGTATCGCAGATCTATTCACATATTTTTCTAATATAACTTTTTCGTATGGTGCGGCTTGTTCAATTATATTTTCCATTTCCATTATTATCGACTGAAACGATCAATATAATATTATAGATGACGTATTAATTGGTAATAGTAAAGCAAATTCAACTTTTAATTTTATATTGAACCTGAAAACACGAACGTTTCCATCTACATATCATCATTTTAATACTCATTTGTAGAATACAGATTGCGATGCACATTGATTGTACTATTATCTCGAAATTATTGCGATTAACGACCATTTCATTTAGTATGAAAACTAAGGTCATCTGAGCACTTAGAAAGGAAGCGTAAATGTAAACATCGAGAAGGAATAATTTTTTCCTCGAGGTGTTCATCGGTGGTGGCCATGCAACTAATGGAGCAACGCTTCCCTTTGTAAAATTTAATGCTTCTTCGTTAGTAAATTTCATGATACTATAACTTGTTTGATTTTTTTCTTTCTTTCTTTTTAACGTGACCGATCCGAATGCGAACAGAAAATTATTTGACTTTGATAAAACCAATCTATAGAGAGTAATTTGTTTTTTATGTATGAACAGAGATAGAATAAAATATTCTTCGGTACTTATTTTACAAGAAGTACTCTCTAATTCTACGCTCGATATTCTTCCGTAAACGCTTATTCCAACTTCAACCTATAATGTAGTTTTGCTAGTTCGGATCGTTGGAGGGAATAAATTAATCAGAAGTATCCTACTCACTATACGTTTCTTACGTATCTGTAATTGCTTTAAATTATTGGATGCGAAGAAAATAAGCGTTTCGCACCGCACCTTTTCTCTGATAAGTTCTATCTTACATGTAATTTTGTAATTTGAGAATGCGATGATAGAATAGCAATAAATGACTATACATCTAGTGAAACAAGCGAGTAGATTGCAAATTTATGTTTCCTTTTTTGCAAAAATGAAACCATGTCCAATCATTTTCTATGGAGCCTTTTTTTCTAGGTTCAATTAAGGTTTTACTGTGGAATGGAACATTTATACGAAGAATTTAGAAAACAAATACACAGAGGGATATCCTTTATATTTCGACAATATTTGATATTTTTCTAAACATTAGTACATTCTAAATATGTAAGTACAATTTCGTTATTGAATTTACTAAATTTATACTATTAACTACTAGGAACCTAATCACTAATAAAAAAATACTATGAATATTTTAAGTGAAATCGAGTTGTAACTTATTAGAGGATTTAAATATACCTTCATTAATGACGTTAATTGGTTTAATCGATAAAATTTCCTCCGTATTTTCCGTGAATCGAAGTAAAAAAAGAAATTCATCGTTTAATATTAATTTTTATATAATTTTTTAGATATTGATTCGAGGATTGATTAGAGGATTTAAATATACCTTCATTAATGACGTTAATTGGTTTAATCGATAAAATTTCCTCCGTATTTTCCGTGAATCGAAGTAAAAAAAGAAATTCATCGTTTAATATTAATTTTTATATAATTTTTTAGATATTGATTCGATAGATACCAATGTATAGTTATTTAAAGTAAATAATTTCGTGGATGTGCGAGTGGATAAATCATTCGACATGTTATAAATTATTTCTTCCACTTTTTGCTGCAAAATTAATAATTACTACGTGTATAATGTCATTATTTATGCGTGTCAGTGAACTTTCTGTGCCTACATTGAATCTATTTCAATTAGATATATTTTGTTTCTTGTAGAATATTCATACATAAAATTTATCTTGAGATTTTTAATTTTTTGATTATTTTTTTCATATAGTCTGCTGCTTTAATTTTATAGTATTGATTATTATCTACTAAAAGGCATAGAAATTGTTTTAGTACGTCTTTTACTTCTGATTTTGTATTCCATTATGCATAGACGAAAATACAATGTTCTTTGTACTTCTTTTACATTCTGATGAAAGAATAGGATAATTTTCAATAATTTTTTTGTACTTTTTATTCATCGTTCATTATTTTGCATTTATTTTCGACATTTCCATTACTTCTCACGAAAATGCTTTTTCTTCTTTTTATATAAATGCAAAAAATTAATTAATCGTTTTATTTAACAACAGCTCTCAATGTTGTGAAGTATGAAAATGACGATGACAGAAACTAAAATATATATAAATGCGAAATTTATCGATGTGTGTGAGAAGTATTGACAATTATAAAGATAATGAACGTACCGACATATAATAAGTTAGAGACAATGCAGGTATAAATCCAGGAATACTGAGAGTAACTGGTTTTTGAGATCTTTGAATTAGAAGACATACATTTTGCCACATTTTTCGTGAGTTATCCATCCAATTCAAATTATATGCTGCCGTTCCAATTGCAGTACTCTTCAATAATAATTTTTAATAAAATAATATAATATACAAGTTGTATAATAATCATTATATATATATTGTCTAAATAAAGAAAGAGGAGCGATTCAATTTACCATTTGTATTAAATTTTCAGCCGGATATGAGTTCAAAAATAATTGAATAACAGCGACAATATCCAACACGAGGAATTGGAATTTGACTGCTAATTCTTCTGTCTATCGTGAAAAAAACAAATGTATTAAAAAGAATTTATAAAATTAATAAAATGAATAAAAATACATATAGATATTTATCATGCATATAGATACGTGTAAATATATCTTCTATTATTTCAATTAAAACATATTACGAATTTCTATTATTTTATTGTTATAATAATAATACTAACAAATATGAATATAAGTCCACTAATGACAATTAATATGGTCGTAATAATAGTAGTGGCAAGAATTAGGATACGCACAGTTTTTACTATCTTTTCTGCATAACTAAAATAAGATAGAAGAATAACACGTGTTCATGTTTTTAATGAATACAATTTTTCTTTCATATTCTATTGAGAAAATTATTACCTGATTATTTGACAATGTTTCACTATACATCGTCTAAGATTGTATACGTCGACAGTATTGCATAATTCAATTTCCAACATTTCAAATCTTGCACCAGCGAACCATAGTAAAAGTGCAACCTGGCAATCAATCGTGGCAGCTGTAGAAGCTTGTAAAGCAGTTAATGATTGTTGAAAATAAATAATTTCATAAATGGGATGTTTTTCTACGTCGAATGGATAAGTTATAATATTTGGTAACGGGTGTGGTACAAATATTGGTCCTAAAATAATATTCACACTGGATAAATAAAATCCAAATGTAAGAGATAGGTGTAGTATCGCAGATCTATTCACATATTTTTCTAATATAACTTTTTCGTATGGTGCGGCTTGTTCAATTATATTTTCCATTTCCATTATTATCGACTGAAACGATCAATATAATATTATAGATGACGTATTAATTGGTAATAGTAAAGCAAATTCAACTTTTAATTTTATATTGAACCTGAAAACACGAACGTTTCCATCTACATATCATCATTTTAATACTCATTTGTAGAATACAGATTGCGATGCACATTGATTGTACTATTATCTCGAAATTATTGCGATTAACGACCATTTCATTTAGTATGAAAACTAAGGTCATCTGAGCACTTAGAAAGGAAGCGTAAATGTAAACATCGAGAAGGAATAATTTTTTCCTCGAGGTGTTCATCGGTGGTGGCCATGCAACTAATGGAGCAACGCTTCCCTTTGTAAAATTTAATGCTTCTTCGTTAGTAAATTTCATGATACTATAACTTGTTTGATTTTTTTCTTTCTTTCTTTTTAACGTGACCGATCCGAATGCGAACAGAAAATTATTTGACTTTGATAAAACCAATCTATAGAGAGTAATTTGTTTTTTATGTATGAACAGAGATAGAATAAAATATTCTTCGGTACTTATTTTACAAGAAGTACTCTCTAATTCTACGCTCGATATTCTTCCGTAAACGCTTATTCCAACTTCAACCTATAATGTAGTTTTGCTAGTTCGGATCGTTGGAGGGAATAAATTAATCAGAAGTATCCTACTCACTATACGTTTCTTACGTACCTGTAATTGCTTTAAATTATTGGATGCGAAGAAAATAAGCGTTTTGCACCGCACCTTTTCTCTGATAAGTTCTATCTTACATGTAATTTTGTAATTTGAGAATGCGATGATAGAATAGCAATAAATGACTATACATCTAGTGAAACAAGCGAGTAGATTGCAAATTTATGTTTCCTTTTTTGCAAAAATGAAACCATGTCCAATCATTTTCTATGGAGCCTTTTTCTCTAGGTTCAATTATGGTTTTACTGTGGAATGGAACATTTATACGAAGAATTTAGAAAACAAAAACACAGAGGGATATCCTTTATATTTCGACAATATTTGATATTTTTCTAAACATTAGTACATTCTAAATATGTAAGTACAATTTCGTTATTGAATTTACTAAATTTATACTATTAACTACTAGGAACCTAATCACTAATAAAAAAATACTATGAATATTTTAAGTGAAATCGAGTTGTAACTTATTAGAGGATTTAAATATACCTTCATTAATGACGTTAATTGGTTTAATCGATAAAATTTCCTCCGTATTTTCTGTGAATCGAAGTAAAAAAAGAAATTCATCGTTTAATATTAATTTTTATATAATTTTTTAGATATTGATTCGATAGATACCAATGTATAGTTATTTAAAGTAAATAATTTCGTGGATGTGCGAGTGAATATATCATTCGACATGTTATAAATTATTTCTTCCACTTTTTGCTGCAAAATTAATAATTACTACGTGTATAATGTCATTATTTATGCGTGTCAGTGAACTTTCTGTGCCTACATTGAATCTATTTCAATTAGATATATTTTGTTTCTTGTAGAATATTCATACATAAAATTTATCTTGAGATTTTTAATTTTTTGATTATTTTTTTCATATAGTCTGCTGCTTTAATTTTATAGTATTGATTATTATCTACTAAAAGGCATAGAAATTGTTTTAGTACGTCTTTTACTTCTGATTTTGTATTCCATTATGCATAGACGAAAATACAATGTTCTTTGTACTTCTTTTACATTCTGATGAGAGAATAGGATAATTTTCTATGATTTTTTTGTACTTTTTATTCATCATTCATTATTTTGCATTTATATTCGACATTTCCATTACTTTTCACGAAAATGCTTTTTCTTCTGTTTATATAAATGCAAAAAATTAATTAATCGTTTTATTTAACAACAGCTCTCAATGTTGTGAAGTATGAAAATGACGATGACAGAAACTAAAATATATATAAATGCGAAATTTATCGATGTGTGTGAGAAGTATTGACAATTATAAAGATAATGAACGTACCGACATATAATAAGTTAGAGACAATGCAGGTATAAATCCAGGAATACTGAGAGTAACTGGTTTTTGAGATCTTTGAATTAGAAAACATACATTTTGCCACATTTTTCGTGAGTTATCCATCCAATTCAAATTATATGCTGCCGTTCCAATTGCAGTACTCTTCAATAATAATTTTTAATAAAATAATATAATATACAAGTTGTATAATAATCATTATATATATATTGTCTAAATAAAGAAAGAGGAGCGATTCAATTTACCATTTGTATTAAATTTTCAGCCGGATATGAGTTCAAAAATAATTGAATAACGGCGACAATATCCAACACGAGGAATTGGAATTTGACTGCTAATTCTTCTGTCTATCGTGAAAAAAACAAATGTATTAAAAAGAATTTATAAAATTAATAAAATGAATAAAAATACATATAGATATTTATCATGCATATAGATACGTGTAAATATATCTTCTATTATTTCAATTAAAACATATTACGAATTTCTATTATTTTATTGTTATAATAATAATACTAACAAATATGAATATAAGTCCACTAATGACAATTAATATGGTCGTAATAACAGTAGTGGCAAGAATTAGGATACGCACAGTTTTTACTATCTTTTCTGCATAACTAAAATAAGATAGAAGAATAACACGTGTTCATGTTTTTAATGAATACAATTTTTCTTTAATATTCTAATGAGAAAATTATTACCTGAGTATCTGACCATGTTTCTTTATACATCGTGTAAGATTATATTCGTCGACGATATTTGCAAATTCAGTTTTCAACATTTCAAATCTTGCACCAGCGAACCATAGTAAAAGTGCAACCTGGCAATCAATCGTGGCAGCTGTAGAAGCTTGTACAGCAGTTAATGCTTGTTGAAAATAAATAATTTCGTAAATGGGATGTGATTCCGTGTCGAAAGGATAAGCCGCAAAATTCGGTAACGATTGTGGTAGAAATATTGGTCCCAAAGCGATATTGATACCCGCTAAATAAAATCCAAATGTAAGGGATATGTGTAGTATCGCAGATCTATTCACATATTTTTCTAATATAGCTTTTTCGTATGGCGCGGCTTGTTTAATAATATTTTCCATTTCCTCTATTATCGACTGGAACGATCGATATAATATTATAGATGACGTATTAATTGGTAATAGTAAAGCAAATTCAACTTCTAATTTTATATTGAACCTGTAAACTCGAACGTTGCATTCTACATGTCATCATTTTAATACTCATTTGTATAATAGTGATTCCAAAGCACATTGACTGTATCATTATCTCGAAATTATTGCGATGAACGTACATTCCATTTGCTAAAGCCATTAACATTGTCTGAGCGAATAGAAATGAACCCCAAAAATAAACATCGATAAGGAACAATTTTTTTTTCGAGGTGTTTGTTAGTGGTGGCCATACAGCTAATAGAGCAACGCTTCTCTTTGTAAACTTTAATGCTGCTTCGTTAGTAAATTTCATGATAATATAATTTGTTTGATTTTTTTGTCTTTCTTTCTTTTTCCTTAACGTGACCGATCTGAACGCTAACAGAAAACTATTTGATTCTGATAAAAAACCTATCTATAGATTGTAAGTTTTTTTTAGGGATGAACGAAGATAGAATAAAATATTCATCGGTACTTATTTTATAAATGAAGAAATACTCGTTAATTCTACGCTCGTTTTTTTTCTATAAACGTTTATTTCAACTACCGCCTGTAATGTAGTTTCGCTAGTTCGTTGAAGGGAATCAATTAATCAGAAGTATCCTACTCACTACACGTCACTTACGTATCTGTAATTTCTTTAAATTATTGGATAAGAAGAAAATAAGCGATTCTTTTCGCATTTTTTCTTCGATAAATTTTTTCTTACATATAATTTTGCGGTTTGAGTATGCGATGATAGAAACTAAATAAATTATTGTACATCTAGTGTAACTATCGATTAAATTGTAACTTCATGTTTCTTTTTTCGCAATAATGAAACTAAGTCTAGTCATTTTCTATAGCGTTTTTTTCTTTTTATTCATTTAAGGTTTTACTGTGGATTGGAATATTTATACGAAGTAGAGTTCAGAAAACAAATACACCATGGGATATTCTTTAAATTTCGCCAATATTTGATATTTTTCTAAACATTAGTTCATCGTAAATATGTAAGTACAGTCTCGTTATTGATTTTATTAAATTCATACATGTAACATCTTGGAATGTAATTACTAATTTTAATATGCAGTGAAAATGTAAAATAGGTCATTTAATAAGCTCGGAGAATGCAATTCTATTTTCGAGATAATTTAAAGATTTAGATGTTAAAATTGTGAAAAAAGTGTAAAAATATTTTATCTAATGAATACTTATTATTATTTTTTGTTTCTATAAAATAATTTCTTACTTAGGTAATATCATAACATTATGGGAAACTAATATCAATGAGGATGTAATTATTGACATTTCATCTTTAATAACTACAGTGCATTAGCGTATAAATACATAGAACTACATGAATATTAAAATTAATTAATTATTTTATTGAATTACAGTTCTCAAAGTTGTGAAGTATGAGAAGGACGAAGATAAATACTGAAATATATATATATATATGTATGTATCGATGTATATGAGAAATATTGACAATCGTAATAATAATTAATCTATCGACATGTAATATTGTTAATATGCATATATAAATCCAGAAATATTGAGTGTTACTTGCTTATGAGATCTTTGAATTAGAATGCATACATTTTGTCACATTTTTCATTGATATTAAAAAATATTCATTTATGCGATTACGAGTACTATGTCAACGTTGATAGTTTCGAGGAAATATATTTTATCAAACGAGTCTTATCAATGATAGCACAATATAATTTTCCTTTTGGTTTGTTGAATTTCTAACTCGAATTTATCCTGGTTAAATCTCTTATCTATGGATAATAATTTAAGGATAATTTAGTTAAGATCTATCCTTATCCTTTTCTTTCATATCCAATATCTTTTCTTACTAAATAAATATCTATAAAAAATATTTTTTCCTAACTCGTGTATTTATGATTGTATATTTATTTCATCAATGCAATCATTAATCTTTGAAGATACCATTTTCAATACTTTATCCTTATCTTTTCTTAAGAGAATCGATAAGTTAAGAAACTTTTTCTTTTTCTCAATATTTCTAGTAATTATAGTTCCTTAATAATTTCACTCTTTCCGATACTCGATCATTTCACCCTTCTTTCAACCTTTTTTTTTTTTTTCCTTTGCACTCTTACTGCACGCTATTATAAGAACGAATTGTAAATTTTCTTCCCCCCCTACGACGTTAATGAATTATGTCTCTCTTTTTCTGTTTTCTTTTCTTTTCTTTTTCTCTCTCTCTCTCTCTCTCTCTCTCTCTCTCTCTTCACTTTTATTTCTTCTTCTTTTAGAGAAAACCTTCTCACATGTGTGCGTTAAGATATTTACGAGTATATCGAATCGAAGATATATTTGTAAATAAATTAGCTAAATTCAATTGTGAGATTTTCTTGGATCATTTCTTTTTATTTTTTTTTTTTTATTTTTTTTCTTTCCTTTTTTTTAAATAATACAAAGACGAAGTTATATAGCTCATCGGAAAAAGCAAGAATAATTTCAATAGTAAAGATAATAATGATTCGATTAACAGAGCTCTTCTCTAATAATTTTTAATTTTGTTATAATTCAAATAAATGAATTTAATAAGATTGCGGGATTTAAGAAAATAATTTGTATAAAAGATTCATAACGTTCAATTCTCAAAGCTATCTCTCGAATCTTCTTTAATATTGAATATAATTAAAAGATAAGATTTATTATGATCGAAGAATCCCGGAATATTTTGTATAATGAACTCATAAAATTTTTAATTCGTCCATATCTTTCTCGTTATCGTTCAATTCCTTTCTTGATATTTTTGAGATCATTTCAAGATATATAAGTTATTGATATTGGAAAACGGGAAAGAAAAAAAAAAGAAAAAAAAAAGAAAAAAAAAAAAAAGAAAAAGAAAAAAAGAACAAAAAACAAATAATGGAATAATTTATATCGATAATAAATTCATACGATTAATATTTAAAAATTTATTCGTGAATCTTTTTTATTATGTTGAAATAATTTTCAAGATCGATGACATTGAGATTGCCAAGAGTGCAAGAATAATTTATCTCTAGCAAAGATAATTTGTACATCGATGCTTTTAGCGTTACTCGAATTGTGCCGAGTTGAATATGTCGTACGAAGCTAAAATACCCGAACGTTGGCACTCAAGTGGGATTACCGTTGCGCGAGATTTGTGTTGGAATTTTGTCAGAGTGTTAGGTCGTGCGAGAATGGAGGATTATCGTTCGAGAAACGAAAATGCGAGTCACCGTATCACGGTATACGTAAATATATCCTTGTACATAAGCTCGAGTATGTATCTACGAGTTTCACAGTGGTGGAATTTTACGTTTGGTAGAATCTTCGAATGTTCAGGAACGAACGATTTAAGAAATAAACTTCGGTTCCGTTTTTCAACGGCAACGATTTACTCGCTCGAGCACGTACGTAATTTTTGCAAATACCACAAAACGATCAACCTCGAAACCAAGAAGAAATGTCGAAAGGCATTCTCATAGTTCTCATTTCTTCAAGCAAGATACATTTCTTAGTTTTACCTCTTTTTTTTTTTTTTATTTTTTTTTTTTTTTTCTTTTAAGGAACATACAATCTCTCTCACTCGCTCTCTCTCTCTCTCTCTCTCGATATCTGGTTTGGTTTGTAATGGTTTTTGAGATCTTTGAATTAGAAAGCATACATGTATAAAAGTAGACATTGAGAAAGAACAATTTTTGTTTTCAAGTGTTCAGCAATGGTGACCAAACGATTAATAAATTCAATGCTTTTCTTTGTGAAATTTAACGCTGCCTTTGAAGTAAATTTCATCGTTGATATAATTTGTATTTATTTTGTCTTTTTTCCTTTTTTTTCTTTCTTTCTTTCTTTTTTTTTTCTTGTCAACGTAACCGATTTAAAGGCAAATAGAAAATTGTACGACTTTTGTAGACGTACTAATTCGTAAATTATTACAATTTCAATATTAAGAATGATCGAAGAATGTAGAAAATAATTAATTCGTTGTTATTTTTACAAACAATAGTTAGATATTTTACGTAATAATACGTTTGATATTTCTTACGTAAACGTTTCTATTCCTCGCTTATAGATACATTTTTGCTTCTTCGACTTTTGTAGCTAAAAGGGGATAAATCAGTCATGAGATTTCTACACGCTAGACGTTCCTTACATACCCGTTATTATCTTGAATTACTGTGTGTAAAGAATAGAAGCTGTTTCTTCCTCCCTTTCTTCGTGCTAGCCCTCTTATATATGATTTTATAGTTTTAATACGTTATGATAAAGGAAGAGAATAAATGATTATATACGTAGAGAAACATGCGTTTGATTTTTTACCTTTAATTCGTAACTTCCGGTAAAATGTACTCGAATTCATTGATGCTCGATTGAGACTTTTTATTTTTATTTATTTATTTTTTTATTTATTTTTTCTCAATTGTGTGTCACAATTTTTATCGTGAAATACAAAGGACCATGGATACACAAATATTAAAAAGGATGAAGATACGAAATTATCGAATGGTGATAAAGTAACAAATAAAAATGAAATATTTCATTATCTTTATCAAATATATTTGCTATTTATATTAAAATAAAATAAGTTTTTAAATATTTCAAGATAATCCTCGATATTAACAATTTATTAGATTCATATATTGTTAAAATTATAGATCTGTTAATGTATTATTTTCATTTTTTCTTTTTTTTTTTTTTCAAAATGTTATTCTATCAGAAAGGCTCGGATAGTTGTAAAGTATCGAAAGGATGCACTTAGAAACTGTAAAATAATTATTTATTAATCATTTATGTTAATTATTTATATTAACTATACAAAATTACGAATGTACGAAATAATTGAAGTAATCGTACAAATAGTTATAATACTCGCAGTGCGGTATTTGGAATTTTAAAAATGATTTGTAATAATCATTCGTATCAAGATTAATTAGAAAATTTAAATATATATATATATATATATATATATATATATATATATATATAGTTATGATTGCAAAAAAGAAAAAAAAAAGAAGATACCGACGAATGGATACATTGATATTGGAAAATTTTCTATTAATTTGATTAAGAGTACTATATTATCGTTGATCGATTCAAGAAAATATTTTTTTACCAAACGAGCGAATGATAGATTTATTAAATTTTCTTGTAGGTTCGTTAGATTCCTAACTTGAACGTTATCAAGGTCGAGTGTTTCTTACCGATAGATAATACTGCAATGATAAAGAAGGTAAGATACCATCGATCGAAATGGTCAAAGGTTTCTGTGACCTTTGAATTAAACTATATATACTGCTTTTCATTTTTTTAGATTTATCGATCCAATTTGACTGATATGCTGCCAATCCAACTGCAGAACTCTGCGAATTTAATTAATAAATTAATAATTTATAATAATAATGATAATAATAATAATAATAATAATGTAGTAACTATGAAAATTATTTACCATTTCCATCAGATTATCTGCTGGTCGACAGCATAAAAACAATTCGAATATCGATCCGATCATCAATGAGACAAATTGAAGTTTCAGTGTTATCGAATCTGCCTGTTTGTTAAAAAAAAAATATATATATATATATATATACTTAGATCAGTGATAAACAATAATTAGTTTTGATAATTCGACGTGAATGAAATACCAACGAATAGAAATTGAACACCACCGAATATTATGCACACCGAAGAAACACCAATACTTGTGAGTATTATAAAACGTACTGCTTTGATGACGTCCTTTCCATATCTAAAAAATCATTACTACAATGAGAAGGAAAAACATTGGAATATATTAATGGATCATTAATAAACACTTGATTACCTTGATAAATCGAAATGTAGCTCGATAGAATATTTTAAAATATTATTTTCAACAATGTTTAAAATAATCGTATTTGTGTTTAACGAAAAATCATGCATAACAAGACAAACGAAAAAAAAGAAACAAAAAACCAAAAAAAAAAAAAAAAGAGAAAAAAGAAAGAATAATAATAACAACACATTCGATAATTATATTAATTACCTTAATAAATTTTGATGTAATTTGATGTATGCGTAATTAAAAAAAAATATATGTATATATATATATATATATATATATATATATAAAAGAAATAATAACAGATACGATAACATATTAATTACCTAAGTAAATCGTGATGTAATTTAATGCAGTCATTTAATTCATCTTCGTTAACGATATTAATCAATTTAATCGTTAAAATTTCGAATCTGGCACCTGTGTACCAAAGTAAAAAAGCAATCTGACAATCTATGGTCACACCTACGGCCGCTTGGATGCCAACGAATGCTTGTTGAAAATAAATGATCTCATGGATTGGATGCGATTCTATTTTGAACGGATATTCGGCAAATGTTGGAAATGGACGTGGTAATATCGTTGGTCCAAGGATAAAGGCCACGCAGATCGTGTAATAACTAAACGTCATAGCAAGATGAAACATGGCGAATTTGTCGACGTATCCTTGCAGAATCTTTCTCTCAAAATCGTTCATCCTTTTGATGAAATCCTCCATCCCTAAGGTAACCATCTAAGAACAATGTTTTCTTTTTTCTTCTTTTTTTCTGTTTTTTTTTTTTTTCTATTTTTTAGAATCATTTAAAAGACATTTGAGCAATTAATAAAAAAAAAACAACACATCACGGATCACCTTAAGTCTCATGGATTGACATTTAAAAATGATCATTTTAATCCATATCTGCATAGAACCCATAAAAAAGCAAATCGATTGGGTAACTATCACGGAATTATGATAATGTTCACGTATTCCACTTATCTCAGCAAAAATAAACGATAATATTATTAAAAATGATATCCACCATCTGATCTCACGAAATATCAATTCTCTTTTAGTTGATTTAAATGTAGACGGCCAAGTACCCATAGGGGATACACTTAGTTTAGTAAATTTTAACGCATACTCCGGTGTTAACTTTGGCATCAACATTATGACGAATATATCGTAGAAAATGATTTAACCTCTGTTATCCAACTCCCCCTCCCAATATAACAACCCTTATCATTTTCCACGGTTTAAGAACGAACAAAGTAAATGCATTGTTTCGAACGATCATATTAAATAAATGATAAACTTCGTTGTCTTAGAAAACGGAATATTTTCTCTCCTCTAATGCCACGATATCTTTCTCTCTCTCTCTCTCTCTCTCTCTCTTTCTATATATATATATATATATATATATATATATATATGTGTGTGTGTGTGTGTGTACGTATATACAATCGAATTATCGAAGGACGAGGAAATATATTTCCATTTCATTGTGTTAAATCATATCTTCCTGTATTTTCATCTAATTATCATTTATCAGTATAAATGCAAAGCTACCGTTACTATTAACTCTCTACCTCCTATATCTCTGTCTTTCTTAGCTCTTACTTATATACTCGAGGATACCTAAGGTTGATAAAGCTGAGGCTCCTCAGTTCGTTTCATACCGAGTTATACATCACCTGGCATTTACGTTCTTCCTCAAATTAACTGAAATATCTACGTACAAACATTGAACGTGACTTCCTACGGGTACGTAGTTTATTCGTTTAACGATCTAACTTTTATAATTCGATACATTTAAACTTTCTTTGATATAAATATATGTATGTAAGTTACATATTTTATTGTTAATATATATATATGTATATATATTTTGTTTTTCATCGTCGTCGCTGTTCCTGTGTTTGACATTTAAAAAAAAAAAACAAAAAAAAAGAAAAAAAAAAAACGAAAAAAAGGAAAAGAAAAAAAGAGAGAGAGAAAAAAATAAACTCCCCCGAAAAAAAGACGGAGAAAAAATATGTACGTACATTCGAACACATCGTAGTTTATTTGCTTTATTTATGTATATACAACTTCGTTGTTTCCGTATTTCGTTATGTCGATAAAAGTGAACTATGTATTTTATCGTAATATACTTACGCTGCAACAATTTCTTTGCTATCGTTGTTCCTGTGTTTGACATTTAAACAAAAAAAAAAAAAAAAAAAAAAAAGAGAGAGAAAAAAAAAGAAAGTAAAAAAAAAGGAAGAAAAGGAAAATAATGTGCGTAAAAATATTTAACAACATTTTTAGATTATTTCGCTAGTGAAAATTTAAAAAAGGGATATAAAAAATCAATTAAAGTTTTATCAAATAAAGTTCAAGATATTTATAGGATTATACATTTATTTGTAGTACTATTACTATTCGATGATTATAGTTTATTCAATTTATGAAACTTGATTGATAAAATGTAATTACGGATATTCACGTGAAAATACTGTGACGAGTGATAAAGACGTGTGGACAGTGATAAACAATAAATTGATAAAGTTCGACTTTGTTTATATTAATTAAATAAAGGTTACTCGATGATATTATTCTTGATACTTTACGCTTAAAGTTGAATCATATAGAAACATGAATTACTATGTTCTTTTAATTCTCAAAAGTTATATCTAATTAAAAAAAATCACATTTAATGTTTTCATTATACGGAGAGAAGAAAAATTTTACATTTCAGTTAATTATATTTTATTACAGAAATTAAAACAATAGAGGAGATGAAAATCAAATGAATTATTTTTTCTATTCATTATTTTTTAATTTTATTCTTTTTTTTTTTTTTTTTCTAATACATTAACGACAACAATTCGATGTTATAACAGTGTACGTAAATTTAATCCAACATTTTGTATATATATATATATATTTTTTTTTTTTTATTTTTTTATCATACGAATTTTCAAATAGAAAATATTTTTACAATTTTTCAATTTTTAATTTGATCTATTTTAAAAGGATCTTTAAATAAATGTCGATATATATATTTATTTAGAAATAAAATATTGAATCAATTTAATAAGAAATTTAAAATTGCCCTATGCTTATTATAATTACAATGGTATTATGATAATTGTCGAAATAATAATCGTGTTAGAAAACATATTTAAATTAACGTCGATATATTTATTTCGATATAAATTATCGAACGTTTTATTCCATTTAGATATCGATCAACCTAATAAGAACATTAACATTGCTTTATATTTTGTATCATGCAAATGGGAATTTGAGCAATAAATACTCTAAAAAGCAAATAGTATTTCACCCCTATAATTCGTATCATACCAATAGAAATTTGACCAATACTAAAATAATAGTCGTAATTAGAAATATCTCTAAATTAAACTCGACGTATTTATTTAGATATAAAATATCAAAGATTTATTACATTCGAATATCGATTAACCTAATAAGAAATTTAACATTGTCCTATATATTTTCTATAATTCCAATGAGAATTTGATCAGAATTGAGATAATAATAATAATATTAGAAGGATCCCTAAATTAATGTCGACGTATTCATTTAAATATAAAATATTAAACATTTATTACATTCGAATATCGATAAACCTAATGATAAATTTAACATTGTCCTATATTTTCTATCATTCCAATAGGAATTAGATGACTGTTAAAATAAAATAATAGTATTAGAAATTATTCTTAAATCAACGTCGAGATATTTATTTCGAGATATAAAATATCGTACATTTATTACATTCACATATCGATCAAAGCTATAATAACAATTTTAACATTATCCTATATTTTTTTTATCGTTCTAATAACAATTCGATCAATAAATATTATAACGTAGAAATTTTACTTTATCCTAGATTTTCAATAAAAATTCCAATAGGAATTTGATGATTGTTAAAATAAAATAATAGTATTAGAAGTTATCATTGAATCAACGTCGAGATTATTTATATCGATATAAAATATCATACATTTATTACATTCATATATCGATCAAAGCTATAATAATAATTTTAACATTATCTTATATTTTCTATCATTTTAATAACAAATTTGACCAATGAATAATATTAGGTAGTAATGGAAATTCATTTACTATTGCATGTCGATATTTAATTGTGATTAAAAATAAAAACTTGTTAAAAATTTATTCGTTTGAATTTAATTTAAGAAAGTGTCATTACTTTCCGGTCCATTTAATATAACAAATAAAAATTCTACTTTAGTATATATTTTATATAATTCCAATGGAAATTTGACCAATATCAAAATAATAGTTAGTAATTAAAAGGATATCTAAATTAACGTAAACATAACAATAGAGAGTTTGTCGTTTTGCGGATTCGATTGAATTAGAGTCACACGTTTCGGCTTATTGTTATTCGGTACGTTATACAGCATTTCATCCAAAATAATCGGGATCGTTCAATGAAATCGTTCGGTACGGTTCGCTCGCTTAACCATTATCAGGGTTCGTTGCCAAATGACCGAAGTTAAAACAAGAGGCGAGGGGTGGGTAGGGAGTGGGGAGGGGAGGGGTGGTGGTGATGAGGAGAGGGAGTAGGGTAGAGAGAAAACGAACGATCGGTTTGTACGGTAGAGAAGTGTCGTTCAACGGGGAGTCATAAAACCGATCAATGGATTAATTATCGAATTCGTATTTGTTCGCGTCGACGCGATACGATTAATTCTCGTCGATTTATCGAGCTTACGAGTCCGCGTCGTCGCTAAAACACTACCCCCTCCATCGTCGTCGTCGTCGTCGTCGTCCACCCTACCACCACATACCACCCACTCACCACGTGTGCGTTATAGTTGATCTTTCATTTTCTTCCGTTTCTTCTCTTTTCTTTCCTCTTTTTTTCTTGTTTTTTTCTTTTCTTTTTTTCTTTTTTTTTTTTTCTTTTTGTTCACGGAATAAAAAAAAGTATAATATCCCTTCGAAAGGAACGAACTAGTTTGTAGCTTGGATCATTCTAAATTCAATGAATTCCATTGGAATGCATCTCTTTGTTACTTTTTCTCGCACAATATTTACTGCAACGATTGGAGAATAATTTTTTTTTATTAAATATATATATATGTATATATTGATTAAAGTGATACATAAATAAAAGTAATATAAAGGTATATAATTTTCAAAAGATATTTTCAAAAGATATTATAAAAGATATTTCACATTGTCCTTATATTTTGTGTCATTTGAATGTTTACTAATTGAAGAAGAAGAAGAAGAAGAAGAAGAAAAAAGAAAAAGAAAGAAAAAAAAAGAAGTACAGAAAGAAAAACTGCATTTTATTGCAAGAATTTAAAACGAAAACATTTGTACGATCGTATGCGTAAATAAATCTAAGATATCAAAGATCAGTATCATTTTTTTTATCGTTAAATCTTTACTGATATCTTTTATTTTCTTTTTCCTTTCCAAGTGATATCGAAATAAAAATACAAAAAAAAAAAACAAAAAAAAAAAAAACAAAAAAAACAAAAAAAAATATCTTCATTAAAACGATAAACTTACTAATACAATATCGTAGGTACGAGTATTATCACGACCACACCCAAGGTGCTAATCATGGCAAGTGTAACGACCGTCGAGTTTTGGAAAACTATTTTATGGCCAATATCACTTTTCGTCTTACTCTCCTGAAATTAAAAGTAAGAAAGATTCATGGATAATGTTTTTTCCCTTCTTTTTTTTTTCCATTTTTTTTCTCTCTTTTCCTATCTTTTTTTCTTTTTTTTCTTTCTATCACGAAACTTTCGATGGGAGATAAGTTTATATAAAGAACAAAAAAGAAAAAACATTTATATATTGCGACGATATTTCGTAAAAAAAAAAATATATATATATATATGTATGTTAATATTAAATTTTCAAAAAGAACAGGAATGAAAATTTGCAGAACGATGTCTTCAAGAAGACTATAATCCTTTTAAGTAGTTATAAAGAAAGAAAACTATTATATATATATATATATATATATATATGTATGTATGTATATTATATAATCTAGTTTTCTGTTCTTTCTTTCTTATCTTCTGTCTTATCGAACTATCCTCTATTGTTTTTCTTTATCTTTATTCTCTTTTCGTTTTCTTTCAGTTCTGTTTGGTCGTACAACGAGGAATCAAACCAAAGAGACAAACTGGATCATTGTATTTTCTAACAGATAAACGTGTTCGTGAAATCAAGTGGGAATTAATTAAGCGAAGAAAAACTTCGATCGTTTGGTACAACGAGAGTAAGACAGTTTTTCTCTCGTTATTTCAACTTTATAGAGACAACGATGAAAGAGAGAGAAAAAGAGACAGAGAGAGAGAGCGAAAGAGAGCGAGAGAGAGAGAGAGAGAGAGAGAGAGAAAATACAAATAGTAGAAACTAACAGAAGATTCTCTAACTTTGTTGATCGAACAGACTTTTCTCTATCTTTCTCTCTCTCCCTCTCTCTCTCTCTCTCTCTCTCTCTCTCTCTCTTTTTCTCTCTGAAATACTTGAACATTAATGAGACATTCTACTTTTGTTCTGTAAATAATAATAATTACAATAATAAAAAGAAAAATAAAACGTATTCACGTTATGGTGATGGAAAGAAAAAGAAAAAAAAAAGAAAAAAAAGAAAAAAAGGAAAAAAGGAAAAAGTAAGAGAGAAAAGAGATTTTTTATCGTGCAAAAGGAAACAAAAAAAAACAAGAAAAGAATAGAGACAAGAAAATTAGGTTCATTCTTTTTATATTCTCTTTTTCCTTCTAAGGAGGACAAATGTTACGAGATTAAAATGAACAACCAGTTAGATTCTCGTTAAAAGTTTGACGAATAACGTTTATCCCTTTAGTCCTACAAACTCTTATTGTTTAACTTAGTTCGTTAACATCATTTGTTAAAGAAATGGTAATATTAAATGCATAAACCATTTAATTTCACGTTAGCTTGACCTCATTATATATATATATATATATTTTTTTTTTTTAGTTTTCGTGGAGGGGATCGATGAATTTTGTAAAAATCATAAAATTTCATTTTTACCTTCGACAGCTTTATGATTTTTAAGCTTCTTTTCGAAATATACGAACTGGAAATATAGCTAGTTTTATTTAAAAAAAAAAAAAAAAAAAAAAAAAAAAGAAAAAGGAAGAAAAAGATTGAAAAAAAAAATTGAAAAAAATATATATTCGATAAAAACTTATTGATTAAAAACTTTCGCCATTATTTATTCATCTCGACCTTTTAATATACATATATATATATATATATATCAATATCTCTATTTGTTCAATATGATCGTAACAGTATTGGCGTATTGACGTACGATTAAATGTAAACGATAATCTCGTAATTTTAATCGGAATAAATTCAGACGAATTTCTAAGTATCTATGTACGTACGAAAATGGGCCAGATTTATTTTGTTTTGTTCTTTTTTGTTTTTCTTTTTTTTTGTATTTTCTTTTTCAAATATCCGATTAAAAATTAGCAACTAAAAAGATTCATTCTATTTATCTATTTGTTTGGATGTATATCAATATTTCTTTTTCCATTTCTATTCGCATTATCAATATATCTATTCATTCGAATATAATCGCAATAGTATATGCGCGTTGGTGTGTGTATGTGAGTGTGTTAAATGTAAAGAACATCTCGGAATAAATTCAATTACTTCGAATAACCCAAGAAGTAAATTATAAATTGCAATCTCGTTTGCCTTCTCTGTCTACTTTGCTCTATACTTTTTCTCTTTTTTTTTTTTATCTGTCTGTCTGTCTCTCTCTCTCTCTCTCTCTCTCTTTTTTTCTCTGTATCTCTCTATCTTTATTTATTTTTTTCTCCTTTTTTTTCTATTTTTTTTTTTTTTTTTTATTACCGTCATATGCCGTGGGGCGTTGACTTAACGTCCTAAATGAATACTCCGGGAATTGGAGAGATTCTTTAAATATATATACATATATATATGTGTGTGTGTGTGTGTGTGTGTATGTTTGTGTATGTATGTGTATATACATACTTGAAGTTTCAGTGCATTGCTGGCAGTGCAAAAGATGCAAACTAACGTAAGGAAAAGAAATTGCCGTAACATTTTCTCTGTGTCGAATGTCTTTGATAATTCAAACGATACTAAAGAAATAATGAACGTGCAAAATTTCAACGTTGTTATCATTTATCATTTATCTCCAGAGATAAAATTTAACAGATAATTTTTATCGTACTATCGCCAATTTTATTATCTTTCTTAATACGTTTAATATATAATGAGAATAATATTTAATATTTAATATGACATAATGGAATTAAGATTTAATGAGAATTTTTTATTATTTAAAAGCAAACTTAATTTTATAATTGTTGGATTCTAAGTAACAAAATATTTTTCAAATTTTAAACTTGTACAAAGGATATTGACATAGTTAGTTGATTATGCGTATTCGAATATGACGAATGAATTTTAACTATCGCGAATAATAAAATAAGCGGACACGATTATTGCGATCGATTATTGTCTCTATTTTTTATTTTTCTTTTCTTTGTTTTTTGTTTTTTTCTTTTGTGCTTTTTTTTTCCTTTTATTTTCTATCCTTCTCTTACGCTTTTACTTTCCTCACATTTCGTAAGATGTCCTCTCTCTCTCTCTCTCTCTTTTTCATTTTATCTCTCCTTTTTTCTTTTTTTTCTTGTTTCTTTTTTTTGCGTTCAAATAACGTCAATCAACGAACGAAATAAATTTTTGTCAAAATGTCAATTTTTTAACGCATCAAAGGGGAAATATTCATTTTGTTAGCACACCGTTTATTACCTTAACGTAAAGGATAAATGGATTTCACTCTTGCACTTTTTATTTCTTTTGCTTTATTCTTTTTTTTTTCTTTTTCTTTTTCTTTGTCTCTTTTTATTTTTGTTTTTATTTTTATTTTTATTTTTATTTTTATTTTATTTATTTTTTTATCTTTAGTGTCGAACTGACGCGTATGAGCGTATGCATGTACGTACGTGCGTTGCAGAGTTGCAAGTAAAGTGGATAGTTTTGAATGGATAAGCGTGAAAAATAGAAAAGAGAAAGAAAGAGAGAGAGAGAGACAGAGAGAGAGAGAGAAATGGAAGAAAAGATGAATTGAAAGAGAACAAAGAAGGAATTATACGTTCTTTCAACGATATTGTTTTTTTTCTTTCTTCCTTCTTTCTTTTTTATTTATTTATTTATTTATTTATTTATTTATTTTTAAATTGGAATTTTCGAAAGAATTAAAACGAAACAATAGGCTATCTCCTATCTTTTAATTGAAAACGAATAAGGATGGAATTATAGTGGTGATAAATGAATAATTAAAAATATTGTTGAGAAAGAATTTTACAGATTTTCGACGATAAATTAAATATCATGTATTATTGTATTATCGATTATTCGAAAAAATTTATTTTTCACTTGGAGCTATTTCGAGAATGGAATTATTATTGAAGAAAATAAAAAAAAAAAATAAACAAACAAATAAATAAATAAATAAATAAATAAATAAATAAATAAATAAATAAATAAATAAAGAAGAAAAGAAAAAGCATGAAAAAGCATGAAACAGCATGAAAAAAAAAAGAATAAAAAAAACGTACGGACGTTTCTTTTTTTCTCTTTTTTTTCTATTTTTTATTTTTAAAGTCGTTACGGTGAATCGTAATACTTTTTCCAAGAGTAGAAAATATTGTTATCACTTTGGGAATGAGAAAAATATATTGGAATACGAGATTTAATAGGAATAAAATGTGAATATTGTAGTTACGTATAAATAATATATAGATAATAAAAAGAAATATGATTTTGATAAAAAGTATTTTCAAATCGTACTTATTAATATTTCTCTTATCGACACGTTCGATACGCATATTACTATTATTATTAATATTATTATTATTTTTATTATTATTATTATTCATATTCATTTGATCAAATAGGATCGATCCATTTCAAACGTATACAATTATGTTTAATAGTACGAGAAAAATAGTACACGTCGTTTTCTTTTTAATTTTTCTTGTTTTTCTTTCTTTCTTTTTTCTTTTTCTTTTTTTTTTATCGATATTTCATCGCGTATCGATTACATTTTTCACGAGGATGATATTTTTTTCTTTCTTATCTTTTTCTTTTTTCCTTTTCTTTTGTGCTTTATATATATATATATATTTTTTTTTTTTTATCAAAGAAAGACAATATTCGATAAGGAAAAATGATTCTTCCGTGTTTCTTTCTCCATTGAAAGAAAGAAAGAAAGAAAGAAAGAAAGAAAGGAAGAAAGAGAAAGAAAAAAAAGGAGAGGAAGGAGGAAAAGAAAAAGTGAGAAAGATGAAAGCAGTTAGACACGCCAAGAGAGGTTGGATCCACTCGTAACAAACATCGCCATCGCAGTTATCAATTTCCTGTAATCCCGTATTTCCTTGGCATTTCTCGCTGTGTGTACTTTACAGATTGCCTCGTTGAGCCCTCGTGGGAGTTTGGTTCTTGCAAACAGGAAAATACTCGAGCTTACTGTCCCATAAAATTTGATAAAGTAAGAAGTCAACTATGGCTGGCCCACTCGAATCAGATGAGGGATAACTATGAAATAGGTATTTTCACTTGTGCATATATGTGTATCTTAGCGTATGTATGCAGGTATATATATATGTGTGTGTGTGTGTGTGTGTGCGTATGTGTGGGAGAGAGAGAGAGAGAGAGAGAGAGAGGGAGGGAGACTATGATCTCAATGAAAAATCATTAAATCAATTTTTTTTTTCATTCATCATTCATTTCAATCATATCCACGAGTTAATGAAATTGAAAAGATTTCGACATATCAATGGAAAACTTTCGAGCTTTTCCGTTCGATTTAATTAAAATAGAACGAAAAAAAAGAAATAAAAAATACAGAGAAAAGAGAGAGAGAGAGAGAGAGAGAGAAAATTTATATATCCATATGATATAATATATGGCATTATCGAAGCTTATAATAAAGTAATCTTACAAGGATACCTTGAGTTTTTCGTTCCAAGTAAGATACGTACGAAACGATTTGTAAAGTTTCTGAAGACTTTCGAAGACAGTTTAAGTTACTTTAAGATTGAAAATCCTTTCCCAAACGGGTACTTTAGAATTTAAAACGTCTTTTCGTTTTAGAACACGTAAAGTTCAAAGGAGAAACTAGTTAATTTTACATCGTAATATACCTTACGTTTCTACTTATATTTAGAACTGTTTTCGCGTTCGAATTGATTCTAAATTGAAAAAGAGAGAGAAAAAGAGAGAGACAGAGAGAATAAAGAAAGAGAGAGAGAAAGAGATAGAGAGAGAGAGAGAGAGAGAGAAAGAAATAAACTCACAGATTTTTATTTATTCAATTTACGTAATATTAACGATTTATGTAGAATGCGTGAGATGATAAAAAAAAAAAATTGCAAAAAAGAAAAAACAGAAAAGAGAGAGAGAGAGAGAGAGAGAGAGAGAAAGAATATTTTTCTTTCAAAAATAACTCTCTCCCTCGTGCGATTGGTATATGCGTTCGTTGAGAGACACTTCTTCGACGTTGAATGATGAATACGATTTCGATACGATCTCAAGACTGTCGAATCAGAATATCTTGTTATAAATCCGAACGAACGCATTCCGCAGATGATCCTTCATCTGTCTCTACTATTCGATCTAGAGAGTTCACCTCTTTCCTTTTACGAAGAAGGCTCTTTTCCTTTCTTTTTCTTCTTCTTTCTTCTTCCTTTTCTTTCCTTTCCTTTCCTTTCCTTTCCTTTACTTCGTTCATTTCTTCCCAATCTCCGTTCGTAGAAAAAGGAGTCACGTTTGGTTCGACCTTCTCGCTTGAACGGCTAAACCTTCTTCGTCTCTCTCTCTCTCTCTCTCTCTCTCTCTCTCTTTCTCCCTTTTTTATTTTACTTTTTATTTTCTTTCTTTTATTCTTTTTTTTCTTCTTCTTTTTTTCTTTTTCTTCTTTTTTTTTTTTTTTTTCTTTTTTTTTCCTTTCCTCTCATCGAAACGATTCAAGTGGAACACGCTTCTTCTCATATCGAGATTTCATCGACGCAGGATATTAAAAGTAGATTACCAGAGAGATTTCAGATTTCTTTTCTTTTCTTACTCTTCAATGAGCGATGACACTCCATTCGTAAATTTCTCGTTTAAAAGAAAGAGAGAAATGAAAAAGAAACAGAAAAGAATTAGAAGGAGAGAGAGAGAGAGAGAGAGAGAGAGAGAGAGAGAGAGAGAAAGAGAGTGAGAGAGATATCAAAGAAGTCTACGATTTATAATACGATCGATTTTTTATTAATTAATCTTTTTTCTTTTTTTTTTTTTTTTTTTTTTTCTTTTGACGGATCCGTAATTTTATTATTATTTATATCTATACATTACGAGAAAGTTCATTTTTTTATAATTTGTTAATCAGTGGACAATTTTCTTTTTTTTTTTTTCTTTTTTTCTTTTTTCCTTTTTAACTATTTAATCACTTTTTTTTTTGTACTAATTCTTGCATCCTTTTTTCTCTTTTTTCTTTTTTCTTTTTTTCCTTTTTTTTTTTTTTTTTTTTTTTATTAACCAACGATCGTTATCTCTCGTCTGCAATGTAAAAAAAAAAAAAAAAAAAAAAAAGAGAATGAAAAAAAAGAACCAAGAGGAAAGAGAGAAAAAAAAGGGAACAAACGAAATGTTGAACGGTTTCTATTTTAGAATCAATTGAATAAATGAATACTTTTTTTCATTTGGTTTCCATTATCGCGATGCATAAAAGATTGTCGGACATCTTGTCGTTCACGTTCACGTTCACGTTCGTAATGTGTCAAAGCGAGAAAAGCAATTTTTCATTAATTGCTTTTCGGTTTGATGAATTTTACGTTGAAGTAATTAAAAGAAAAAGAAAATTAAAAAGGTAAAAAAAAGATAGAAAAAAAAACAAACAAAAAGAAGAAAAAAGATAAAAGAGAGAAAGAAAGAAAGAAAAGAGAGGGGGAGGGGAGGGAAAAAAAGGAGAACGATTTTTGCATGATTTTTCGACAAATTTTACGATATATTCATAGATACCAAATATATGCAATATATATGCAATATATATGCAAGATACATGCAATAAATTTTATGTATTAAATGTTTTCAAAATTTCTTTTTTCTTCTTTTCTTCTTTTCTTTCATTTTATTTAT